GGTAACCTGTGCAAAAAAGCTTGTGTTCGACTAAATGGCGCTTATCCTTTGTGCTCGGCCCCGACTCGTTAAAAACGAAATCCCCTTTGCTTTTTGCTTCAAAAACGAAGCCCAGCCTGCTTCCTGACGATCTATGCCGAACCCTGTATGGTCCTCCTTACAAAGGCAGCCACCGTAATCAAGCTGCAATCAGGCCATTGCGTCGGGACCCCTGGCAATTGCAGAGGCGTCCTTTAAGCTTTCAACTTCGTCTTTTCCACGGCGTTACAGGCCATCTGTTAAATAATGGGTAGCCGTAGTCGCAGGTGTTTTTCGCCGCAGCTTCCCTGTAAGCAGAGCAAATGAAGCTAAATGGGCAGCAATTGATAGAGGCACACAAGTTCGGTCATAGCCATCTAGGAAACATTGAAAAATAATTATTTACAAAGAAAACAGGAAAAACAGACAATTTCTTGTGTTTTTCGTTTTGTGTCGAAAATGTAACGCATTTGGTAGAGACCAAGTTGGGTGGCAACAACGAATTTATTCACAGGGAATAGTGACGAACAGCCACTGGGCAATAGTGACGACTCTAGAACGTGGTATCCAGACTCTTTTATACAGCCAAGTTGAGCGTGCATAGCCTGGATGCCAACTTCTGGCAAAGAATGCTATCAATGCAGTAGAAGTTTCGCCTACTTGAAAGTAGGCGCCGCCGAGTGCATTATCAAGGGCCATGAGGGTGACCCGGCGGCTAAACAGGTGCATAGACAATCTGCAACTTGTCCATGGCAGAAGGAATAGTACGTTATAGATGTTATGGAATAAAGGTCGTTAATATCTATTATTAACGGCAGCGCACCTATATTGTTTGTCTGACAACTTCAAGTAAGATCTGTGTTGTAGTCTTGGCCTTCGGTGTAGAGCCGGACACAAGAATACTCAGTAGTTTGATAGGGGATCGAAATAATGAATGAATCATTGAATTATTACGGTGACTATATACACCCGACTGTAAGAATTTACCACTTGGTACCAGGCACCAGAGAGCTCAGACGCGAAACTCATGGGAAAGAATTTGAGACTAACAACGGAGCACTAGAGATCTAATTACAACAAAAGGCAATGACAAGGTTATACAAATTAAATGCAGTACATAGGCACATCAATCCGCAACAATCTGAGAGAAGAGAAGTGTGAACATGGAAGAACAAATGTTCAGTGGCGGTTGTTACGATTTTGATCACAATGAGAAAAAGAACAAAGACTGACATATGATAGAGATGTAATGAACAGAGGCCGTTATGACGCTGCATGGTCACAACTCGCCACAAGTGCCTATCATCTTTTCGTGCCAGGACTCTTGCATGCCATGCACTTTGAGCATGAAATCACGCTCTGATACCGCTACGCGGTGCGAATGGGGCGTGTTGTGCTCTTGGGAGCTCAAGCGTGTAGAACGAAACCTTTTGCTGTACGGAGAGGTTTCTTGGTGGGGACTCCGGGTTTACGTCGAAATGACGCTCTTTTAGGCCTGTGGAGCGGTATATGTTCTGCATGTGCACGAATTTCCAAGCGATACAGTTGCGATAAGCATCGTTTATGATAAATGCATCTTGAAGCACTGATTTCTGCTTTCGATGTCTGCTGTGCGCTCTTCCGAAAGAAGTCATGTATATTTCTTGACACCAAAATTTGCACTGTTTGATGACAGGATTCACCGATATCATTGAAGTGTTCGCTTACCCACTACAAAAGCGTCCACATAAAATACTTTACGTTAAGCTCAGGAAGACTGCCCCGATATATCCAAGCCTGAAAAGCCTGGATAATGACGATTCTGACAGCATAAATCTTGTGAAATTCACGTGGGGAAAAGTCCATGACTTCGTTCAGAGAGTCGCACAAGTTAGTGAGCATAGATTTAGAATCCCCGCTACAAGCCGCATCTACTGGTATAATTTCCCTGTAGAAGGCTACGGATGCCAAGTATTTTTCTCTTGTTAGATGAGAAACATCAACTATAAAGTATATATTTCTTAGCCCTATCTTTCATTTAACTGCAGAAAGCGTTTCAACTGCAGTGGTTGAATTTGCTGGCATAGGTTCATCAAATTGTTTGGTTACTGAATACTGACAGGATTGAGGAATTCTTATTCAACATCTCTCATTCCACCGAAATCTGTCAACGAATAATGAGCGTCTGCTCCTCTGAAAAGAATTCACTTTTCAATATGATTCGTACATGTAAAGCATGATTCTCCATGACTTTATGAATCATTTTACAGGGGAAGGATTCTCAGGCAAAGTGGCCTTTCCAGCTGAAATGCACACAGTCTCAGAGGGTAGTTTGGTGTGTACCAAGTGAAATAGGGTGGACGAAGTTGTGTGGAATATTTATTCACAATGGCGTAGGTTAGTTGAGAGCGATCTATCATACAGTCGGGGGCTCCTTATATACACGAATAGAAGGCGGAGCTTGCCCGGGTACAATGTACAACGTAGGAGGGGTACATGGCTTAAAAGGAGTTGCCGCCGTTCGGCTACACTCCTGGTGCACAGGTGCCAATCATTCTTGAGTGATTAGATACTCAAGAATGAGTGGCGTACAATTCAGCCTATGGGAACTCCATAGGCGATGTGGAAAATGGAGTGGATTGGGTTGATGATATAGAAATCATCAACAGGTAATGAAACGCTTTTCATCTGCATCCTTACTTGCGGAGCGCCTTTGGGTGAGGAGTTACGAGCGCTTTATGAGGAAAACTGACCAGAATTCAATGGCTATCTTTCCAACTCGCAGACGGAATGGGGGGCAGTAAGCTAGAAAGCAGGGGATTTTCTCTTCTTTTTCTTAATAAGGTCCCATTCACCAGTTTTGCCACTTGAGCTCAGGAGAGACTTCCCAAAAATGACTTTTTTTATATTTTCGCCACAAAAGTTCCATAGCTAATTGTCCAGGGCCTCCGCAGAAGGAGACATATTTGGAATGAGAGTTCAATGCCTTCAAGAAGGTGTGCGCCCTGGAAAGGCCATTTCCATCAACAAGGGAACGCTCAGAAATCGAAGCGGCAAAGCAAACAAGCTGCATATCATTAGATGCAGGATATAACACTGAATTCGAATCTAGCTCCATATCTGCTTAACACCTATGTGTATGTGGGCGAAGTTATGAGCCGTCAAAGGCCTTTGTTTTGCTGAAAAATTGCATGTGAAGTGCAAATTTGGCGGTACGGAGCCATGTTTGGCTTAACGGGCCAAAACATAAGCTAGGGCTAGGTCACTTTATATTTTCATAGCCTAAAGGTAAGCTTAAAGTGCAACTAGCTTAAAGTGCAACTATGTGTTTATTTCGCAATTTTTATGTACGATTTTTTCGCAGTAAGACTCATAACTTCATCCACAAAGGGCTAAGCAGACTTTACAGATTCGAAATCAGCGTTGATTGCTGCGTCGAATGGTACATAGACAGCTTGTTGGATCGGCCACTTCGGTTTCTGCATTCTCTTTAAAGTGTAAGCATGTCTACGCATGCTTCTTCGTCGGACGATGACTCATATGTTTAGGGCGTGACGACGACGGTCAAGCGAGACTCTCGGGGAGTTGCTCCGATGCCACGACACCGAGTGGCCGCTCATCACTCCTCATCTCCATCCTCTTTGGGCCGCCGCCGTACCATCAGTGATACACCTGATCTCTTCCTCACGATTTGCCTCATTGTTTACGTGTTTATCTCTATGCCAATGGTGCTCATATATGTTCGGTGCTACTTATTCCTCTTTGGTGCAATAACAGATAAACTATATTAGTTCGGATCGGTGTTCTATCAATTAGTCAGTACGTTTCCGCGGCGCTACGCTTACTGGTAGCAGCGAGTGGTTCCGCCGAGAGGAGTGCAGGTGAGTGGTAGAATTATTCATAAAGCCCTGATGGGCCTCCACCGGTGACTTGGCAGCTCAGCGTCTGAGAAAAGTTTATCGTGGTGGTTCTGGAAATTTTTTAACGGCTTCCAGTCCTTTTCGGTGACCTAGGGCCCAGGTCTCACGAAATTTTAACATCAATTTTGGAAGTAAAAGTATTAAAATGCAATTTTCTTTTCTCAGACGTGATTTCCGCGGTTCCCAGCAGTTTTGTGCTGGTAGTTAGTGTGCACACCTGACGGTGGACGTCCAGTGGAAAATAGAACGCCAAGAAAATGTTGAACCCAGCGTTTTGAATTGAATTTTGTGAGTGTTATGAGATATTCTCCCGGCCGGTTGAGTTGAGTTGAGGTGCGGACCGATGTTTTGCAGTTGTATGGTGTTGTTGGCTCAGGCGTTCGCCCCTAATTGGTAGTTGCGCGCAGGTAAGTTGAGCTGGGTGGTAATAGTAGTTGTTTGTCCGCACGGTACTTTCAGCAGTTTTATGCTGATTATCAGATTGCTCCAGCGTAGGGCTAATGACGATTCCTCAGCTAAGTCTGAGTGTAGTTGATGTTTAGCGATCGATCGCAGTTTCCTTTACCTTGTAGGGCACATCTGGCGACCTAACTTGGAGTATCGTTTCTGACGCAGCAGAAAGGCCAGATGGCAGGCTCATAATGCCATTAGTCTGAATACCAGAACTTCCCGAGTGCGGTTGCTTTCTCTATATTCCTCTGATATTAGATTTTACTCTGTGTTATGGTGTCCCTATTTCTCTCCTAGTGTACCAGTTTAGCAAGTTCATTTCCTTTGATGCGTGTTTCGCACACAGCTAGTGATACCATGAAATTTTGAGTTGAGAGCTGAAGACTCAGTTCCGAGCGCTTCCTTTGTCTCGGGAAACACTTTTGAAATTGGAAACGAACGCAGTGGCGCAATTTCGCTTTGAAATTTCTCATGCTCAAGCTTCGCAATCTCCTTTGTGCGCAACTCTATTCAAACGTTTCATTCCTTTTACACTCGACCTCGTCAATGAAGTTACGCGTAGCATGTATTCGGGCTTTCCTTTGAAACTTAAGCTTCTCGTTCATTTCCCAGCTTAGTTTTACTAATTACGCTATGAGAACTCCGAACTTTCAAATAGGAGATCTATCATTGGATTCGGGTTTCTTCTCATGGGTTCAATTCCTTTGGTAGATAAGATACAGTACGACTGTAAGCAAAGATGTTTCCGAAGGAAAAGGTCACGGCCGCGTACTTTCTCATGACGAGATCGAAAGCATAGATAGCGAAGCTGAGAAAATGCCACAAAGCGGAAAAGCTTGAACTTTTTTGCTTGTTTCTCATTACACCGAGATCGCGAGAACAGATATGGCAAAGAAACGAAGTAAATATAAAGTTCATGGCATTTTCCGTGTTCATTTCTTTCATTCCTTGAGATGGCAAACATAGATAAGGGTCTGAGGAAATACCAAACAGTTTTGAATATTCTACTTAAGGGTACCGTACTAGCCACGCCCACTCCTGAGACCGACAGCGTGCCTCACTCGTCACTCATCGCTCATTTGCGTAGCTTCCCCTTCCTTTCATTTGATATTGTGATGCTATCGTCTATCCTCTCATTGATCTTATTATTAGGAAGCTCTAGTATGGTGATGCCTCTGCCAATGAACCTGGGCGACTCGTTCTTTTTCAGTTATGGTACCGGTACCGGTAACGCGTTCCAAGGCGGTTGTGGAGCAATCCACGGTGGCTGATGCCACTCCACCAGTGAGTACTGAGACAGTGACGGCACCCTTAACGAGGGTGTTGGCCAATCTGGACGATGCCTCGACGGTCCACGGACGAGATGCAAAGGAGCTCAAGGAAGCTACAACTGAGGCCCTCATCAACGTATGGAAGGACGCGAAGAAAGCAACGGCGCAATTAGCTGAACAGGTCAATCAAGGTAACTCTAACCTGCTCAATGGACTTAATGGCTCATTTGCCGCAATTGGTTCACGTATCGAACAGATTCCTTTGGTAGCTACCTGTTGCCCTGATGGGCTCCCCTCCCGTGTCATGCCGTTTACCGGCACCTCTAGTTCGCAACCCTTTTCGCTTTGGCTGCGTCGTCTGGAGGATTCGATGCGGCTTCGCAAGATCCTAACTTCTGAGGACAAAGCCAATTATCTGGTAGCCCATTTGGAATCGGTGGCAAGGGAAAGAGTCGAGACCCTATCGGCAGAAGACAAGGTAAATTACGAAGCTTTAGTTGATCATCTCAGGACACACTACGAGGGCCCGAAGCAGAAAGCCGAAGCAAGGCAAGCCTTAACCACATGCCGTCAGGAAAGAGGTGAGTCTAGTTCAGCCTTTGCCTTTCGTTTATTGAATTTACTGCGTACCGCGACCGGACAGGACCCAACCCTTAATGGTGACTTATTTTTGCAAGAATTTATACAACGTTTGCACGCTGACTTAAGGTTTCACGTTCGCTTCGCGAAACCAGCATCTTTCGAGGAGGCTTTGGCGGAGGCCGAACGCGTTGAGGAACTTCTTTCCGAAGCCTCGGCAGACCGACTCATCCATCCATCGCACCCTCAGGTGCCAGTGGCAGTAAGTTCAGTGGAACCTATCGCTTCTTCAGGTAAGTCCAAAGACAACCAGGTAAAATCCTCCTTGCTTCCGCCCGATACTGTGCCTTCTAGTCACACTAACTTTGCTAATAGGCAAACTTTTAGGCCCGGCCCAAACCGAGTACGCTTTCAAGAACCAAGACCACGACGAGCCCCACGCATGGTATTCTCTGATATTTACTGTTATTTCTGCGGTGGACGAGGACACTTGGCTTCCGAATGTGCGACAAGGAGACGACAGCGGCAGCAGGTAGGTCAATCCTCTCGTAGCAGTTCTCGTGATGGTTTTCGTGTACGTTATCGTTCTCCTTCTCCTCAATCGTCGTCTTATTCTCGAACTCCCAGAGTTTTGGGCCTTTCCCTTGATCATTCTAACGAGCTAGATCAAGCGCGTAAGCAAATTGAATTGCTCTCGCTTTCATTAAAGGAAAATCAAGTAGCGTTAGATAAGTCGAATGCCCGCATTTCCGCGTTACTTCAGCGTAACGAAGAACTAGCTTCCTCAGCTTTTGGGAATCACTCTTCCCGGCGTTCTTCTTCTCCACCGCGCGTTAACTATCTGTTCTTAGCCTCTGTGCTTCTGTCATGTTTCTTTATCAGTGATGCTCATCAACCTGTCTGGTTGTGTCCGCGTGAAAAGTCAGATGCTGTTAATCGCATTCCTTTGACCTATAATTGCTCATATTTGGTGCCTAACTTAACTAGTGTTCCGGTTAGCACCTCTCTTTATGTTTACCGTCCTAATTCTAAGCGCTATGATACTCCAGCGGTGTTGTGTAAAATTGTCGAGCATACGGTAGTCTATTCCGTTAACTTTTTCGGTGCGCGACGTCAAACCCATTCCGAAAACTATAAGACTGTTTCAATCGAACACTGTAGGCAAATGCAACAACATCACAAATGTGAATATGGGTCGATGGTAGAAGTAGACGGAACCTACAAAACCGATAATATTCTTTCATTCGAGTACCCGTCAGCCCCGTTTGGATGTTGTGTAGACCATCATCTCTCCGTAGTAAATTGTTACTTGGTTAATACAGCTGTTCATGCGCGTCATGGGGCACTTTCGCCAGACTCTGCGGTAGGTAATATGCAACACTGCGCGTATAAGGATGGGTTTTGCACCCTTCAGGAGGGTTCGGTACTGTTATGGGAGCCCGCGAGCGAACAGCTTTGTGCTTACCTACCAATTTCCAAAATGCGGGGGCACCTTTTAGGTCACATTTGGATCAGCGACTCAAAAGAGTTCGCCTTGTCTTGGCGCGATAATAACTCTACCATTCAAGATTGTGCGCGTACATTAATTATTACGGATCAGGGGTATGCGGTTGCAAAAGTCAAACGGGTAGCGCGCTCCTCATCTCCCTCCGTAGGTATCGTTACTTCGAATCAGTTAGCAGCACAACTGCTAGCTGCGGAAGATTCTATCCAGGATTCTATGACGTCCCTCTTCCGCCATGCCTTGGCATCTCTCTGTGATCGTACTAACATGTTGGCGTTTGCATTACATTCTTCTCTTAAGTCTGATGCTACGTACACAATACGCTCTTTGCTTAAGCGAAATGATATTGCGGCTACCCATCTTGGTGGGGGACTAGTTCAGTTGCATCATTGCATGCGCATACCACGCGCTCATTATCAACTTGTACCGTTTAACGATACCTGCTATAATAGGCCTAGAATCCGTCTAACTTTACCTAGCGGTGCTTCATGGTTGACATTCATAGATCCGCATAATTGGGTAGTAACCTCTGACGAGATGTCATACCATGTTCTAGGGTGCGACCGTTCCATCTCTTCTCTGTAGACCGAATATTCGTATATGACCCCATTCTTGACGTTTCCTCTAGCCTTCTCAATTCGACTATTCATGACCTTTTACCAGCTCCGTTGGCGCACACCATGAGTTTCGTCCCACCTTTGACTATATTCCACAATTTAGTGCTAACGAATTTCACTGAGGTGACACAAGATTATCAGTTACGGGAATTATGGACCACCAGAAATTTGGAAAGGGTCCTCGCTGCGGTGGGTCACGATGTTACGCCAACACGCCACTCCGACGACGTCATAGGTAATACACTTTCGCTTACTACCTTATTCCATACATTTGGCTTTTCCATTTATCATGTTTGGATCTCGTTTTGTTGCACAGCTGTTTCTTTAGCAATTATCAAAAAGCTTGTAGCCCTATATGTGACCATATCCTACCCTACCTTAGCGTCACGGTTATTTTCAACAACAATGTCAGACCGCGCTGCACCTTTACCCATCGCGCTACCTGGGATACCCTTGAACACCCAATCCTTTTCTAGTGCTTCCCCACTTCGACCCATAGATGAGCGGCCGATTGAATTAGCTCGATTAGATATTGCGGCTGCTCAAGCTTGGCCACCCAGGCTATCAATAGCACCAGTCCATGTGTTGTCTCTATACGATAGCCATGCTTTCTTTGTAGCGCAAATCCCGATTAAGGCTAACGGAATAGCCCTCTTGGCACTGATTGATACAGGGGCAGCAATTTCGGTCGCAAGCAAGGACTTAGCAGCGCTCTTGGGTGTTTTCGAGCTAGATCCGAGCGCCGTCGAGGTAGCAGTGGGAATGGCCGGAGTTCCCATAACACTAGCCGGTATGGCTCAATTGCGATTGCAGGTAGGTAAAATTACTATGAACGCTGTAGTACATTTTACTAAAGGGTCATGTATCCCTCGTCAAGCCGATTCATTCAACCTTATATTAGGCAATAATGTTCTCGCCCAACTTCCGTCATGGTCAATCGATTATAATAAGAAGATTTTTCAGTTGACGGGGAACCTATTCGCATTCTTAGCGCCTTCCCTCAGTACTCGGACGACGAAAATGAAATTACTGTACGTGTTTCAGAAACTACTCCCTTACAACCGGGAACCGAAACTTACGTGCCCTGCTACACGTCGACGCCGCCTGTGGCGCCGCTTATGCTGACGGCTCAATCGGACAAACTACTCCAACAATCACTCCTGGTCACTCCGACAGTATTCAGCACAAGTACGATCCATATTTTAGTTTCCAATCCTACTGCGCTTCCACAAGTCCTTTATAAAAATCAGACGTTATCCACCGCGGTGCCCCTATCTGATCAAAACGGGGTTTTATCTGAGAACAGTAGTTTTTAGCACCCACCTTTTGGCTCTGAAACCCTCCCAGTCGGCTGATTGCCACTCATCTAGTGAAATTGATGATCAACCCGGAGTTGATCTTAGCAAGGCTGAAGTCTCCGAACAGGAGAGGGAACAGTTGCGTGCATTCTTCCACTCGTTCCGCGATCGCATCTCTCATAGCTCCTATGACTTAGGCTCCTATGATACCGACATGATCCACATAAAAACCACTACGGAAACCCCACCCACGCGATTTCGACCGACACGCATTCCCGTCAAATTTCAAAAAGAACTGGATGACCACATTAATAAGTTGCTTAGGGCCGGCAGAATTAAAGAAAGCGACACACCTTGGGTTCATAATACAGTTCTGGTCAAAAAGCGAGATGGATCTCTTAGAGTCTGCTTAGATTTTCGCCCATTGAACGCGATAACTATTCCGGACCATTATCCCTTGCCCCGGATAGAGGACATACTCACTAAGATAGCAGGGAACAAATACTATACATCCCTCGACTTGGCGTCAGGCTATATGCAGTTACTGCTGTCACCTGAAAGCCAGGCCAAGTGCGGGTGGGCAACGCATAGAGGAATTTATCAATTTGTCTACCTCCCTTTTGGACTTAAGAACGCTGGTGCGTACTTCTCTCGGGCTATGTCGCGAATTTTAGCCGGATTGGAAGAAAATTGTTTGGCCTACCTTGATGATATAGTAGTATTCGACAAAGACTTTCCGAGTCATCTCAGTTCTCTTCGGAAAGTATTCCAAAGGTTTCGTGATTTCAACATAAAAGTATCCGGTAAAAAGCTCGTCGACATAGCGCGGTCGCGAGTCACCTTTTTGGGCCATGAGATCTCTGGGGATAGTTACTATCCATCTGATCGTAACATCCAGGCAATCAAAAATATGCCACCCCCCACATCGGTCAAAGAAGTCAAGCGTTTCCTTGGGATGGCAAATTTCTTTCGCAAATTTATACCAAATTTCGCGTCTATTGCAGCCCCACTTTATGAACTTACAAAAGATAAGGTTAAGTTCATATGGACGGATAAACAGCAGACAGCCTTCCAAGGCTTGCGTGATAAATTAACGGCAAAACCTTGCCTGGCCTTCCCGCAAGATAAGGATTTCTTTATGCATACTGATGGGAGTCAAATCGCGGTAGGGGCCGCTTTGTTTCAGCAAGCACCGCAGGACGCCAAATCTTTAGTCGCGGTCGGGTACTTCAGTAAAGCCCTATCAGAGTCACAACAGAAGTGGAGTCCCACGCATATAGAGCTCTTTGCGATGATTAGTGCCTTACGGTTCTTCAAGGCCACCATTTACGGGCATCTCACAAGGATATTCTCAGATCATCGCCCTTTAACCTTTCTGCTTAAGCATAATAGGACCCATGATAATCTCACCCGTTGGGTCGTTGAGCTACAAAGTTATAATGTTACCATCGAATATCTGAAAGGCTCTTCCAATGTAGTGGCCGACTGCCTCTCTAGATTCGTGAATCCTTCGTTTCGCTTCCAAGACAACACTTCTGAGTCTGACGATATCATCGAATTTCCTAATTGTCTCATATTACAAACTTTCCAGCCTCTTCCCGCTTGTTTAGCTCCACTTTGTGCCACCGCTCCTATTGCCATAAAACCGTATAACGCGCTCCTCGAACAAAAAGCTGATCCGCTCTGTAATTCCATAATGATATTCTTAGAAACCAATAAATTCCCTGATTCCGTAGCTGAAGCTGACAAAGCAGCTCTACTGAAACTAGTTGAAAGTTGCCGCTTACGTCCTAATGGCTGTTTGTATCACGTAGCCAAATCTCCCTACAATCCACAAACCACAATTGAGCAGCTTTTTGTTCCCGAAAAGTTACGTGAACCCATATTCCTGGCTATGCACTCGAGCACCACCGCTGGCGGCCATTTCAACTGGCAGAAAACGCTAGCTAAGATCTCTCGTAAGTATTTTTGGCCGCACATGTCCGAACAGATTTATGCTCTTACTAAGTCTTGTGATCTGTGTCAAAGAAAGCGAGCGCAGGCCCTCAACCAAGAGCAATTGCTGCCCGTAGTACCATCAGCCATTTTCGACAAAGTTTATATGGATTTGACGGGCCCGCTAACAACGTCGGAATCAGGCAACAAATATGTGCTAGCTTTGATAGATCATTTTTCCAAGTACGTTATCGTGGCGCCTTTGCCTGACTGCACGGCAGTTACAGTAGCGCATGCTATTCTAACCGAGTGTATACTCAAGTACGGCGTAATGACTCAGCTCATTTCCGACAATGCTTCCTACTTTAAGGGCGAGCTGGTATCAGAAATTGGCCGACTTTTACGCATAAGTAGATATTTTGCCACCCCATACCACCATGAGGGTAACGGCGTATGCGAACGAGTTTTCGCCACATTTCATCCCATGCTACGCACGTATATCAGTGAAAACCAAACTGATTGGGATCAATTTATCTTCGCTTGTGCCTTTATGTATAACACTTCTGTCCACTCAAGCACCAACAATACTCCATTTTTCCTTGTTTTTGGTCGTGATCCTCTATTCAACATTGATCTCTTGATTAAACATGATACCGAACGCCATACTCCTTCTGACCAAGACTCTAGTCTATATCTTGAGAACTTCGTCTCCACTTTGCATGCAGCATGGCGTATGGCGGCGAAATACAATGATATCCAACGTGCTAGATTTAAGGCCCAGTATGACAAGTCGCATTTACAACCACTGTCTATCAAAGTAGGAGATAGAGTCTATTTGCGTGATTTTGCTCCCAAGCCCGGACTGTCTTCCAAACTCTCACTTCCTTGGCTGGGCCAGTTTCGTGTCCTGGAAATAAATCATCCGCACCTGGTAATCCTTAGTATCACTTCTCCACAATCGAAACCCAAACGCGTGCACATGAATCAAGTCAAGAAATGTTTTGAGTTAAACGGACCCGCATTTACAACTCCTTGGCAACCCGAATCCGAGCAACTAGCGCTAACGCATCATCAAGCAACAGATCATGAGCTTATTGGCTATTCTTACAACAATCCAACTGAACAACCATCTATTAGGTTGTGACATAAGTCTTGTTACATTTAACTTCTAACGGCGATAAGTCATACACCTCATAGTCTTTGCAGGACTTCAGGGTACCAACCGATAGAGCAAAGCAAGCTCTACAAAATGGTCTGCAAAATTTCGCACCAGCTCCGACCCACCGTAAGTTTGCAGCCAAAATGTGAGTCGTACTGAAATTCAAAAAATCGCGAAAAATTCATATCTTTGTTTAAACAAATCCTACGGATCTCCAACTTGCTCATAAAAATTGCCCACTATATCAAACACTCATATGTACCGTTGCTGTACTTTTTCCTTATCTAGAAATCGAGAAAAAGAATTTTTTTAGTTTTTACAAAAACGAAGCTATGCTGTTTCTTTTTATGCAGTTGTATACTACAATCCCTTAGAAGTATAACCGTAAATTTTCAGCTTCCCAGAAGCCCTAGTTTTCGAGAAATACCTAATTTAGCATTGAACACCCGAGTGATAAAAGCCAAATTTGGCATTTCTCGAAAACTAGGGCTTCTGGGAAGCTGAAAATTTACGGTTATACTTCTAAGGGATTGTAGTATACAACTGCATAAAAAGAAACAGCATAGCTTCGTTTTTGTAAAAACTAAAAAAATTCTTTTTCTCGATTTCTAGATAAGGAAAAAGTACAGCAACGGTACATATGAGTGTTTGATATAGTGGGCAATTTTTATGAGCAAGTTGGAGATCCGTAGGATTTGTTTAAACAAAGATATGAATTTTTCGCGATTTTTTGAATTTCAGTACGACTCACATTTTGGCTGCAAACTTACGGTGGGTCGGAGCTGGTGCGAAATTTTGCAGACCATTTTGTAGAGCTTGCTTTGCTCTATCGGTTGGTACCCTGAAGTCCTGCAAAGACTATGAGGTGTATGACTTATCGCCGTTAGAAGTTAAGTGTAACAAGACTTATGTCACAACCTAATACAATAGCGCAATCACCTTCTCACCCATATAATACTCGTTTTCGCTCACGACGCACCTCCATTTAGCTCATTGCTCGTAAAAACGTTAAAAGATCAATCCATACCATATTTTACCTTCCTTGTGTGCATTGTGTTTGCTCTCCTATACTATCTTTGAGCCTCCTTTTTTTCACGTGTTTTGGCATTCTCGCTCACATTTCGACATTTTTCGTTCCCACTTGCACGTAAATCGTCGATCGTCTCCTCGTCGCGTTCATATATACCGACACTATACAATTTCTCCGCTGTTTCAGAAACTTGGTGAAAAGCCCGCACTTGTTTAATGCCTAATTCTGACGAGGGGACTTCTGGCCCCCATGCTAGCCCCGTCGGGCCTCTGCCAGTGAACGCGCCTACTCCTTGCCCTAGCCCTGTTGGGCCTCAACCAGTGGAAATCGCAGGTCAGAAACGACCCTTCCTATGCCGTGTTTCGGCCCCAACCAGTGTTAATTATCACTATCATATATACAGGATTTTATCATTACATATCAATACCCTCTTATTTTAGTTACTGCGTCTGATGAGCCGATGGAGCGCGGATCATCCATCCTCTCTGAATCTATTGACGCAGTTTCCGACCAGTCCATATCCCTCGCTCGGATGTCTCTCGAAGAGCCAAGCAATGTTCCAGAAGTCATGGACGTTACACCCGCATCGGCACGAATGCAGCCTTCTAGGTTAGTCTTCATAATATTCGTTTCTCTTCTATTTGAGTTTTCTTGGTTTTCTTAAGTTTTTTTCTTTTCCTTTCGTTCGTGCAGTGTTCCTTGGTTTAGTGCTTCGCAGTCCTCCTCCGGCGCCTCTAGGAGGGACTCTGATACGCCCGCAGCCCAACGTCGGGAAATTGTTTGGGAACCCTTGCCTCAGCCCCGGGCCTCTCGCCCCTTTCCCCAGGTTCCCCCTGATACACCGGACAACTTTTCGCATCCATTGATTAACTCACATCCGTGGGCTGCTCTAGTTAGACCCCGTCTATTACCCCTTAGCTCCCTGACGGAACACGACGTCACCAACGAGATGCCTGTAGAAGACTACCGTCATATACCGTCATCGGGGTATCAAACTGACAAGTTCACTAAGTGACTCTTCCCCTTCGTCAACCCGGAGCGTGTAGGACGAACGGAACGCATTCCCCTCATCGAACTTCAGACCCTCGAAGCAGCCGTGCGCTTCCGGCTCGAGTGTAATTCTATCAAGGACCAGCTCCTGTCTGGCGCCTATACCCGTGTTGAGAACACCCGTCAGCAGACCCCGAAGGGCAAGAACCCTACGTTGTCGGGACCCCCTCCGGTTATCCGTGGACGACGTCCAGTTCTGTATCAAGTGGTTGCCACGAATCGAGGCGCAGGACTCATCCTCGAAACGAAGGACTTCTTCGTACCGGGACCCGACCAAAAAGAACTCCAGTGCCTCACTCTGGATCAGTTTGCCACCAACATCCAGTCCGACCTGCGAGGTTTCGACAAATCGATGGTCTCTGTTAAGGACTTCGTCTGGATTTGGACCGTGGAGCCCACCCCCCAAGCGATTCGAGATCCACAAATGATTCTGGAACGCTCCCGTTCACCGCGTACATACACGCTGGATAACGACGCTGTGTTCTTCTTTCGCGCGGCTACATTTGCCTTCGCGACGCCTCAGCCTCGCCAGAACATCCTCGGCAACGTCATTCACATCTACCGTAAGGACAACGTCGTTCCGCATAAGTTTTCGGCTGGCTTCGCGGGAGCCCCGGAATCGGTCATCATCACGGCTGCCCTGACGGACTTCGACATCGCCGACATTCGGGAAGATGAGATGTTAGTAGGCCAGGCGCGTTATAACGTTTCCACAGCAATCCGCTTCTCGGAGCCGCCAGTGTCAGTGAAGGCTAGAAAGAGGCTCTGCGATCTCGTTCGCCGCACTGTACCCTGCCACCCACGCGAAGGAATTCTACCACTTTCGGTGAGCAGGCTGGAACCCGAAGAGCAGGAATGGATCGACGATCGCGACCACGAGTTCAACAGCATTATCACCAACCCTTCCCTCGCCCAGCTAAGGATGGCGCACCTCTTCAATATGGCATGTTCCACGCTGGCCGCCGTCAAATCCGACAGTGATGACCGACTGACGCATTGGGTAGAGGCAGCGATGACCTCAACACGCATATACCCACTCCAGGTCGTCTTCACCATCCCAGGAATGTCATCCGAGAGAGGTTGGGAGCGCGGTCGCCCGGTCGAATTCTGGATCGATGGAGCTCCTCACACCATCATCTTGGCAGTGCACCACGTCGATGTCAACCCGGAAACGCGTGAGCTCCGCGCCACCCTCGTGGCGTACCCGTGGTCCAACGACTCCCTCGCGGAAGCTACTCAACGCTTTGGGACCTTCGTCGACAACGTCTTCCATCTCATCGCCACTGTTCGCTTGGGCAAGTCCCCCGTAGCATCCGAACCAGCGTACGAAGCGATCTCGCGTATGGAAATCTTCAACAACGTTAGCCCAGGATCTCTGGCCGATAGGACGATCAAACGGATTTACAACGTTGTTCCTTTGGAGTGCTCTCCTACACCCCGTGTTCGTGTGCCTCAGTTGTCTGAACATGACCAGCTCGTCTTTCGCACTAATGCCAACCCCCTCAGCCTATCCCCAGATCAGTGCAAGGCAGTCGAATTGGGATGCTCGGACTACTCTATTGTAGCCATCCAAGCGGCGTACGGAACTGGGAAGACGGTGGTAGGGGCAGTTATTGCTAGCCTCCTCGCGACCAGCCAAAACAAACGAGTAATCGTAAGGCTTCAACCAATAACGCCGTGGCACAATTCGCGAAGACGTTGATGGAGATTCGCAATGAACCAGCTATTAACGTGGTACGTATCGGACATCGCGGCTGCCGAAGATCAGACTCCACTAGCCGTCGACCTGAACGAAGTTCTGAAGACCCTCGGCGATGCCTTCGCCTCGACGTTGAGTGAACAAGAGCAAAACATCTGCCGTCGTTTCAAGGAAGGACGCCTTCGGTTTGAACATTACCAAGGGCAGATCAACCAGGAGCTCACAGAGCAACAGCGGGACGAATATATCCTCGCCGAGAAGGACGTCTCCAATACGATTGAGAAGATGGTGCGCATTATGTTTAAAGTTCGACCACCACACATCATCTGTGTGACTACGGCGTCCCTTCTCAACACCTCGGGACCGAATGGATTGTTCGAGAAGTACTTGGGAAGTTTCTCTACCCTAATCAGCGACGAAGCATCCCAGATCCCCGAGCCGGTGCTCATCGCGATGGCCAACAGACTCCCTCAGGTTCGTCACATCTGCATCGGCGACGTGCACCAACTCGAACCTCATATCCGATGCTCGAGGAACTCGAACCCAGCCCGTTTCGGAGCGAAAAGCGTTATGGACGTCCTGATGAGATCCCGAACCGTCCCCGTAGCGTCGTTGGTCACCACTTTTCGTTCCCATCCACGTCTGAACGACCTGCCAAACTTCTTCGTTTACCAAGGCCAGCTAAGGAGTGGTGTCACAGAGGCTCAACGTGCACTTATGTTCCGCGCAATGCGCTTTCCTGATGGACAGACCCCGTTTCTATTCTTAGACGTGGCCGGAAACTCGGAGAGGGCTGCGAGTCGCTCCTATTTCAATGAGGCGGAAGCCGAAGTGTGCAGAACGATAGTCCAACGCTTACGAGCCCGATATATCGAACCTTCATCGATATGCATCTTGTCGTTCTACAAGGAGCAATTGCGCAGGCTGTTGCCGTTCGCCCAGAGAAATCAAGTGGAGCTAGCCACCGTCGACTCCATTCAAGGACGTGAAAAAGACGTCGTCATCTTACTGACAACTCGTACGGATATGACAGCCACCTCTGCCGAATTCCTGGACGAGTACAAGCGATTGAACGTTGCTCTGACCCGGTCCCGCCACGGTTTGTTAGTCCTGGGGCATACCGAGTCCCTTTGGAAAGTTAGGTCCTGGACCACCATCCTTCGTTGGGCTGACGAGCGCCATGCGATCATCCCTGCCACGGATCTCGGTCAGTACCTTCCAGTCGAATGATCTCAAGCAGCTATTCTGGTGAGAATATTTGAGCTTTTTCCTGTTTTTGGTTCGCTTTATCTTCAATTTACTTTTATTTTGCCTTTTGCTTCCATCTCCCGTTTTCTACCCAATTCGTCCTCCTCAGACCTTGTCAATTCCTAAAATTAAGTCCGAGGACGGACTTGTTGGTAAAAGGGGGAGGTGTAAGCATGTCTACGCATGCTTCTTCGTCGGACGATGACTCATATGTTTAGGGCGTGACGACGACGGTCAAGCGAGACTCTCGGGGAGTTGCTCCGATGCCACGACACCGAGTGGCCGCTCATCACTCCTCATCTCCATCCTCTTTGGGCCGCCGCCGTACCATCAGTGATACACCTGATCTCTTCCTCACGATTTGCCTCATTGTTTACGTGTTTATCTCTATGCCAATGGTGCTCATATATGTTCGGTGCTACTTATTCCTCTTTAATGCAATAACAGATAAACTATATTAGTTCGGATCGGTGTTCTATCAGTTAGTCAGTACGTTTCCGCGGCGCTACGCTTACTAAAGGCAGTGTCCCGGCAGATTTTGCACCTCCACCTTTCTGCATGTTTTAGGCCTTTTCGCCACTAGAATCCGAAATTGAGCTTTGAACGGGTTTAAAAGGCCGATTTTGGGGCGTTTTCCTGAATCCAATAAAAGCAGCTCAGACGAGATTTTTGATGGAAAATTGGGAGGTCCTCGGACGAAGACCCTGCCGCCTGTAATTTTTGCTTTGGATAGCATGCACCATGGGGGAGAGCGTTCGTGGGGTCCCGCGCCGAACAGACGGGATGGCCGTCCTGAGCGCGCGCCAGTTGGGGTTGCGCGCGCTGGTTCAAGGGCCATTTTCTCGGCCCAGGGCGAACATCACCCAGCCGGACTGCGCCTGGAGGTCGATGGGATGACCAGGAACCCCACCACACGTATACCCCTCAGGACCCGAATATGCCGGGACACAAGGATCCTTCTTTTGTTAGATCAAAATTTCGCCACCAGTCGCAGTTTTTCGGCGTAAAGGATGATTGATGGTAAAAGCAACACAAAAAAAGGCTTCGTTCTTTTCTTCTCCGAAAAACAGTAATTAATACACTAGGAGCTCCTTATCAGACCACCACTGTCTTTGAGGAAACCACCTGTAACTAGTCGTACAAGTGAACAAGGATGCGATGCCTTGTAAATTTTCAACAAATGCACTACCGCATAGGTAGGAATTATATTTATACTGTAGTACTTATGTAAGTAGTGTTGTTTCACTAAACAGATTTTAGCATTTATTTTCCAAAAAGCCATGAAATCATTGTTGAGGGCAGTAGTAATAGAAACAAGAAACCAAAACGATTTAATGAACTAAAAGATTTCTAACTAAACCATCTCCGTAAATGGAAAGCACATTGGATAAGGCCGCGAAGGCTGCACTACTGGTGTCAGCACGTCTTTGGCAGCACAGCATAAAACACATTCTATGAAATCTACTGAGTCTTTTGTCTGCAAAAATATCAGAGCCAAGACTCGGATGTCGGAGGTGGGCAGGTTCGCCATATAAGTTCGCAGTCGTCATAGATTTTTTTTTCGCATGCGTTCATAGCATGTCACTTTGCGAAGGAGGATTCTCAATGGCGAAGGCACTGCTGCGAACAGGTTGCTCTCCTTGGACCTATAAAGATACACATAAATATCACATAAAAAAATTTCAAAATTCTTTGAATGGTAGCTGCTCCACCTGCTTCTCCTGTGTCACCTTAGTGATATGAAAATAACTGCCAGGACGGCTGCCAGCTGGTCTCACCACAAGATCGGCGGTACTTCGGGCCTGAATTATTTTTAGGTAAATAGCCAATCCCACAAAATGGAAAAAATAATCACCTCTCCTGCCACATTCTCGGCCAAGCATGTGAACTGTCCACTATCAGCTACTTCCACGCGTACGATCAGCAGTGTATGCACTCCATTTCCTTCCTAAATAATTACGGAGCCAAAATTATGCCAGCTTTTTGATAGTTTTCAGACATGATTCTGATACACCATTTTATCCGTTCTTCCAAATGCTTTTTTGAACAGAAGTTTGCGCGACGAAAATTTTCTTTTGAACCAAAAGTATCGAAAGAATGCTGGGCGCTGCGACTTGTGATACAGTGCATTTTCTGGATGATGCTATGTAGAGCAAAGAGCCTTTATTCCTTTCTGATATGCTAATGAAACTTACATCAATCAATCGAACCTCTTCGCAATCAGGAATTTCTATGCCATCACGCAACCATGTAACCTGCAAACATTAGAATTTTTCCAAATATGTTTGCGATCCGACACTTTCGAGGAAAAATTCAGACAGTCCAGATCGTTGGTTTGTATGTTGACACTCCAGATATGTTCACAAAGAAACAACATTAACATGAAATTTGCGACGATGGATTAACGAGACGATCCCTTTCCAGAAGAAGATGTAAAGTAGCATTTTTTCAAATTTAAGAATAAATATAAATTGACGAGCAGTTTTCATTACACTTTTATTTGGTAATCCACAAAACTCCTTTGAAAAAATCAACTCTAAAGGTTATCGCGTGAATTCTACATGATGACAAAAGGGATAACTTTTTTGAACTCCACCCTAATCTTAAGACGCTGAAGGCAGCAAACATACTATAAAAGACACACTACGGCAAAGAAAAAGCTCAAATGGAAGGAAATCTGGGTTTGTACTGACTGCTTGTTTTGTGTGCTTTTGTCAGCCACCCGCTTCGTGCGGGCAACTAAGCTTTTCAGGTAGTAATTAAAATGTTTTTAGATCCAGTATTAAAGGGAAATTATTCGTCTAGTTACTTCTATGCTATTATTAGAGTGACCCGATCGTTATGCACTTAACAAGTACATTTGATACAATAGCCCGAATACTCACCTTTGGTAAAGGATCACCTGTCACTCTGACTGTCCATCTCAATTGTTCACCTTCAACCTTTTCTTCACTTATCAATCTCTGCGTAAAATCTGGCGCTATTGTCTTTGCTGAAAGCAAGAATACGATATAAATTGGCACGGAAAGTGAAGCAGAGTTGAGCAACAACGAAAACTTACGACGGACTACAAGTTGTGCACTGCTCGTAGCTACTCCGCTGGGGTTACGGGCTGTGCACATGTATTTACCAGCATGGATGCTGCGGCAATTCTAAAAGAGCACGTAATTTTCGAGAATATTTGAGGGAAGGAAAGTGTGTCTACCTTGAATGACAGAGACACTCTGCCACCAATATTGCTAACTTCAACGTCTGGTAAGGATGTTCGGGTAAAGGGTACTCCGTCTTTGGTCCATTCTATGGTTGGAGCTGGCCAGCCTGAATCACCTCACGTGACTCTCATTCGAAAATAAAGAATTTTGTAAGTTTTATACCAGTCACGATGCCTTCAAATCGTGCGGATTCTCCATCAACTGCGACGGCGGCCACTAAAGTCTGTGTGAAATGAGGAGGATGACCTGCAGATTGTTGCTGTTGCAAGTCGTACTGTTCTAACATTTCCTGGAACAAAACAAAGATAGTCAATTTAGCTTGAATTTAAGATTAAGAAAGACACCACCTCATCCCTTCTACCCTGGAACCTCTTTGCCGGTGGTGGAGTCACTAATCTACTCGTATCATGCTTCTGCGGTCGTTTTTGTTCGTACTCAAACATGGCAAACTCTTCCGTCACCTGAGAAATATCAGTTCATAAAAATTTTCAAAACAATCGTCTTTTTACCGTCGTGTGCTCAGTGGGTGATTTATATTCAGTAATTCTCTGAGATGGCACAGCAACTCCGTTCCTTTTGTGGTGTTGGATCAAAGATTGGGGTCGAACATGCAGCATTGTTATTGACTCTGTTTTTCCTCGCGTATTCTGTAAATAACACCTTTCGTACTGGCTACGCACTTCATGTTTATAGTTTCCGGCCTCCGACACATGTATACTACATCTGAAATATTATACTCATCGGAACAACTACGAAGGAATTTTTAAGCTGATTCAAAATATCCGTTTGCAGTGAGTCACCAATCACATACTTCAGCCACAACTTTGTAGTAACCAGCATGTTCCAGACGTGCTTTTTCGATCACTATCGAATAGGTGTCAACTGAGGTAACAATCTGTAAAAAAAACTCTCTAAGTCCGATGTGATTAAAGAGTAAATGGTAGGAACAGACCTTAACAAACTTTGAATCTTCCCTGATTTCTCTATCGTTGTGGAAAAAGCGCACTCTTGGCCTTGGATTACCGACCACGATACATTCGATAGTAATACTGCTACTTTCATCCACTGTGTACTCTCTGTGGAAACCTCTGATGAACTGAGGTTCCGTGGAGGCTCGTGATAATCCTACAGTGATGGAGTCTTGGGAATACCCCGCATGTTGACTTTTTCTCACCAATTTCGCTGACTCGCAGTTCCTCTTCGAGTACGCGTTTGTGTTCCGGTACTGGTGGCGGACTTGGCGATGTTGTGTAAGCACCGTCTGTCCAGAAACCTTCTCCTTCTGATGCCTGAAACCACTTCTCGATTCAGTGCAGACAGTTTATGCAAGTGGACGTTAAGGTCCATGATGTGATTTTGCTCGTTGTCAACGGAAGTGGTAATCAAGTGGCGAAGCCCGACAATAGAACCATGTTTAGTCGAAGCGGCTTTTTTAGATGGAAGTATACCATTTTGATTGTATAAAACGCTGATGCTAAATTTGTGGACGAGGAGTTATGAGCCATTATTGAAGAAAAAAAAGAAAAGTGCATCTAAGAATGAGGTGTTAAAACTTTCCTAGCCCTCTAATAAAGCTATACTAAGTGTATATTTTTATCTGAGAGAATTCATGAATGAGGTGCTCTGATAATCGTCGCTGCTTTATTAGAGCGCTAAAAAAATATTGCGACCCATTGTGTCCTAATTGCACATGTAATTTTTAGCTCTAATAAAAGCTCATAACTCCTCATGAACGTCCCTCAGATAAGGAAGGCGATTTGGAATCACCGTTTTATGCTTTCCGATATGGTACACATCCCATCAAAAAAGGCCTGAAGAGCCTATACTTCCAAACTGCCTCGTATTAGCTAATGTCGCCGGAAAAATAAAAGCTCTAAGAGCAGAAAAAAGAGATTGAGAGGATTTTTTAGGAAGAAGAAAAAATGGAGGGTTAGAGTGCCGTCGCAGAATGCCTTCATACTTACTAAACCATATCTGTATAGTGGAGATGGTACCAACGGGTAGTCTTTCATCCATTAGTCAGGCGCACCAATTATTAGATTTTGCTAAAGTTTCCGGAGTTTTTTTTTTAATTTTTTAGTTTTTTACAGTGCACTAAGCGCCACAACCCAATATGATAGCTAAGATTTCCTGTCCTTAGTGATAATTCAAAGATGGTGATCTATAGATGCCTTTGCACTTTTCTTAATTACTCTATAACTCGGGTTTCACTAGCTCGTGACTATCGCCGCTTTACTTCATCCAACCCTGATTTCAAAAGAGGATACTCATTTTCTTTCTATTACTTTAGCTCACCGCGATAAAGCTGTCCCTATATCGCGACTCTTCACTTTCTTTGGTGCTCTGCTGGGTCAGCGGTGCTGGCGCAGAGGGTCGAGATCCGGTCATCTACGATAATGGAAATAGATATTTTCAACTATATTCGTGACCTACCTGTACATAAGAAGTAGTAGTAGTTGTTGTAGTCTTCTCAGTAGAAGGTTCTAACTGTCGCGTTGCTACAGTACGCTGAAAGAGGTTTTTTGAGATTAATATGTAAAACTGACACTAGCAGCGATTCACGTACCCTCAACTGAGTATCCTCATCGGTTCGGGTGCTAGTCGTGACCTGTGAGGGTGGCGGCACCTCGTCATGAACATGCTAGAGAGCAAATTTCCAAAAGTTGGTCGAGCACAGCAACTGTAAGACATTACCTGGACGAAACCACCAGTAGTTGTCGTCGTCGTCACCTTGGTAGTCATTTGAGGTATACGAGATTCGACCAACCGCTGCAAACATGTGTCTATAATCCTTCACGATAAGCTGAACCATTTACCCTTCGCGCTTCCTCCTCTTGTTCTTCCCGCGTTGTGGTCACCGTAGTAGGAGCTCCCGCAGTCGTAATCAACTTCTGCAAGAAAAATTCATTTGAAAATTAGAACGAGAGCGGATTGCATCCTACAATAAAAACAATCCTAGTTTTGCATCTTCTACATAGTACCGATTTTTGATGATGGGTAAAGGACCGAAAGTTCAGTAAAAAACAAAACTTGTGATTCTAGCATGATTTTTGCTAATTGAATGCAGCTGGAAGTGACTGACCACAGAGAATAGGCACGGGAGGAGGGAGGAGATGGTTTAAAATGGCTCAAAAAATCCTTGTCGGAATTCCGTCGATCAAAAAAGAAATCAAACGGGTTGTACCTGTGCACAGATTAAGAACGGCACTGGTTCCATAACTGTTGAAGAGGAAGTAAATGATCCAAAAAACCTGCGCTTTCTATGAAATGTAATTGAATGTGATGGGGAACAAGCGACTGTGCTCAGCAAAGTCTTAATCATCAACTCTTACAATATGCTAGCACATTTCAGATTTCGTGATGCACATGGCCATTATTTACAGAGAGTGGCAATTATCAATTGGCAAACATCTGTGAGAGAGAAAGGAACTCCTAAAATATTGTACTCAAGGTTTTTCCAAAGTCCTCTTGGATTGTCTGGGGCAGAGTCCGCCAGACACAGAGCCGTTGTAGGAAGCTGAGGTCGCAAGCATATGCCGTATGCGCGCTTAAGCATACAGCTTGAAATTGCTGGATGCGCAGGTTCCGGAACGAAGGCGATGGTTCGGAATCGGGAGGTTCTAGGTTGCAGACGCACTTTCAGATTCCTACTTCACTGCTGCATACTCGTGGGAATTACCAGCAACCCTATAAAATCCCAACCCTTCCCCTTCCCCCTCTTCGGCGCTGTCTCCGAGAAGGAAAACCAGATGTCATCAGATAATATCCACCTGGCTTTTAAAAAAATCGATGTTGAGGGAGATGGGAATCACCACCCTCTGCTTGGTCCTGTCGGCACAATTTAGGCTTTTTTGTTTGGTGTCAGACATATTACACTATTTGGCGATTTACGATAAACAGTGTTGGATAGATAATGAGCATGAAGAACCAACCCCTACTCTTTCTTCTGTTGTTTCTGTTGTCGACCGTTTTGTTGTCTGCAAAGTTTGAGGTTTGCGGATATCGTCTTTGACGTGCTAAAAAGAGATAATTTAGGGATTAGAGCACCAAAAATTGAAAGCCATACCTGCACCCATCCCTCGGCACTTGTTGTTTGTGTGACTCTTTCTGAAACTTCTGGGCCCCTCTTCAAACGTTCTTCAATTTCTTTTTCCATCTATAAGTTTAACACAATTAGTATGATATCATGCTCTACATCAAGTAAATTTCCGGGTGAACCTTTTCCAGCTGCTCCAATTGCCGTCGCTGTTCATCTTGATCTACTTCTGTCGTCTCTTTCACGGTGACTTTCCTTTCGCCTTGCGTTCTGATCTTCTTCTGCAAATAGTAGTAACGTATTGCCAAAACAAAGAAAAATAATGCTGCAGACAAGAGCAACACTAGTTTTCTCTTGTTTGATCTCTGTATTTCACTAAAAGAAAGTTTGATTATATTTTTTACTGCTTACCCCTTCTTCCATAGTAACTCCACCAACGACAGTTCTCTCTGTAGTGACTATCTGTGTTGGGGCCAAATCTTGATCAACATGCTAAATTTGTTTCATAAGAAAGTGTAGAGAAATGAGTGTCAACTATGCTTACGCGAACAAATCCTTCATCCGAAACCGTTTGTTTGACTTCCGCTGTGGTGTGTGGAGCAGGTTTAGGAACAACGATATCCTATAATTGTATGAATAAGATGCTTGAATGGTTCATATGTTTTCTTCAGAAGAAGTTTGACTAGCTCACCTGTATCCTGTCTATGGGAACGGTAGATTTCGTAAACTCCTGTTTATCCGGAGGCGCAGCTGGTACGTTGACTTGCTTAAATTGGTTATAGATAAAGAGCTTGAGCAAGCAAAGAGTTTTTGAAGAGTTCAAGCAAAGAGATGATTTTTTTTGCTCAAAACTAAACACATGGGTAAATTTCAAAAATTGGATAAAAGCTTACTGCAACATTTTCTTTCAACGCTCCGCCCGTAGTTGTTGCCGTGTGTGGATGGACAGGTTTAGGTTGCTGTATAGCCTACAAACGAGACTTTATTTATTTGTCATCAAAATCTCATGTAGAACTCGCATCTGCCAATTTTAGAGAGATGGGTCATACAGCGCTAACACATATGTCGCAATATTGTTCCAAAGTCACTTATCTCCTCAAATTCGCTTGGTTTCCACTTTGACTAACTTTCATTAGGATAAAAAAATCAATGTACCTCCAAATAAGGAGGCTCTCATTATCATGACGTGAGTAAGCTATGCCAAGCGGCTCTAGACGCCGAGATATGAGTATTTTTGGAGCAATATATGAACGTATCTAGGTAAAATTAACCGTTACGGTCTTCTTGGCGCTCAAGTAGAACAGTGTTGAATACGGGTATATAAGACAGAAATTACTGAATGACGTGCTCTGATTATCAACACTAGATCATTTAAAAGCAGTGTCCGGGCAAAAAGTCGATCTTGAGATTTTGTGCTTACCCGGGCGTATTCGATATGCTAAATCGAAAATCCACACGAGGTAAATCAGAAATGGATAGAGGGGCGGGGGGGGGGGGGTCTGCAAGTCACGCATTCGCAATTGGCTCGTGGAAATGTCAGGGCGCTATTGGAATTGAGAATATTGCTCCGGAAGTCGGGACTTTGAATTCGCAGTGGGGAGGATTCCAACCACTTCTGACTTCCTTCCTGTTTAGTGCCCTTTTTCGCCGTTTTCGCGATCTCCAGTGTGGTCCTCGGATTCAGCATAGCGAATGGGCGGTAAGCACAAAACCTCAAAATCGACTTTTTGCCCGGACACTGCCTTCAAGCAATTCTGGAAGGATCTGTTCAAGTTGCGCATTTTTCCAACCTCAGAAGTGCTCATAACTCGGCATCCAGAAGCGTTTGGCGGATAGTGAAGGCAGATTTGGAACCAGGGTCAAGCGTGTAATGCGAATTTCGCGACGGCGGGTCATAAAGGGGCAGCTACTGTGAGAGGACAATTAATTATCACATGTTCTTCACAATGAATTCACAGAATGCTGTGCTGTGCTAATGCTGTAGAGATGAAAGCCAGTGAACAACATTTTTGTAAATAAACATTCGTAAAGGTAGAAACTCGATTCAATTGCGGCATTTTTGAAAGATTATGACTTAGTTTAGGCTTTCACTTGGGCTTGGTTATTCTTTTTGCAAGAGATGCGTAGACGGGAAAAACCTGCTGGGCTCAAGAATAACTAAAAGCAAAAAAAGAAGCACTTTTAGAAGTTCAAATACTACTGTAGGCATAGTGATGAGTGATAAAGATGTGGAATGTACCGACTGGCCTAGAAATTCTGCTTCCGAAGCCTCAACAAAGTCACACTCGACAGAAGCGAATATCTCTATCAAAAATGACCGTCGGTAATTTTCAAATCTTTTTGCAGTGTTTTTCATGGCTCATACAATTTGACTGAACTTCGAGATGCTCTGCTACGGAAAATCTGGTTGGATTCTTTTATAATTGAACTAGTTGGCAAACCGGCTCTGCCCGGGCCTGTCAATAATATATTTGTAGTAATCAGCATGCTCGATTACCCCCCCCCTGTGCCAACTCCCAGCCCTGTAGCTCAAATTTTGCAAAAAATCGATATCGATATCGATCGATGACGAAAAGTAGCCTTTGACACCCGTCCGGCCCCGAAGTGTATGTGTGCCAAGTTTGGCCCCGATCGGTTCAGAAATGGAATTTTCTATTCGAAACATATGTACATTCAGACATACAATACATACGTACAAACAGACATTCAGCTTTATATAAGGATGTATTGCAACAAAAAATGAAGAAAAGGTCGTATCTGGATCGCATCTAGAATTTTTTCGGAGCTATGGAAGCTTGTTCGCTGCAATTCTGCTGTACTATGGCACCGTCTTCCTAATTTCTGTCACGAAAATTTCGGGCTGTTTCGTTGAGTCTCTAGTGAGTTACAAAACTCGTGAGCTCAAAAATCCCTGCTTGTTGGATGGCGCGTATCACCGACCTACCGATCTTCAGTACCGGGAAAAGGGAGGTCATAATGACCTCTCAGCAGAGTAAAATTATCGGTGGATAGGGGGACTAACGAGGACGTGAAAAGAGCGCTCCAGGGAGTTTAAAAAGCCGTCGAAGAGAGGCGGACGTCCCCCTTTAGATAGAAGAAGCTAGAGAACCCTGCTGCGAGGGCAAATCGGGGAGAAGCCTGTTGTTGTACATAGCTATTATACCCATTGTTATAGTTTGTTGCTGTTAGTTTTTTGCCAATTAAATAAAAGTCTTGTACTCAAACCCGTGTTTCTCCATAGATCAGGTTCTACGGGACTTACCATTAGCCCACCCCCGTTACATGCTTTTGTCTCAGGATCGAATTCATATCTGCTAGAGTCGCACCTGAATTTCTTCAAGCTCACTGCTCGTGGCTGCCTTTTATCCTCAATAGTCTGGGCACTCTATACAACCTGCTTATTGCAGCCTCAACCATCTCCTGACTTTGGTTACGAATTTTCAAAGTAAGGTGCTCATGCACATTTTTACATCATTCTGAAGGGCGCTAAAATGGTTTTGTTCCCAGGAAAATTTGTGCGAAAACAGGAATCAAGATTCTCAGTCGCAAGCGCTTCTCAAGCTCCACAAATTGCATTTTCCCCTGCAAAAAGGATGTCGCACATGGGGATCAAAGCCAAGACTGTCATCATAGCCTAAAGCGTTTTTGTTTCCAAAATGTTAATTTGTTGAAGGCCTTTCAGTACTATCACTCAAACTGAATGAGTTGTGCCAAACATTCAAAATCGCAAGAGAATTTCTTACCCGTCGCTATGATTTACAATAAAATAATTAATTATATTCACTGAAGTGAATTGCTCTGTATTTCCTAATTATTCCTACTCATTATTTTAGTCCATTTCCTGTTTATAATTCAAGGTCTAGGCAAGTTATAATTCAAAGGTCAGTATCAGATAAAACTGATGTCCTCCCTCATCAATTGATATCCTTTCCATCCATCTTTTCGTGACCATAATACAGCACAAATCTCTAGAGTTTTCTTACTTATCTAATCTATACATAATTATTCTGGGAGGTTTTTGAGCAATCTATTGCTTGCATTATCCCAAATTTGTAGGTACTACATTTTCTTCCCCTAATGTGTGATGTTTGTAAGGTCTATTGGCATTCTTTGAAGTAATCTGACATTCGTTAATGTAGGTTACCGCGCAAAGAAATGAGGGGCAGGAAGGCGGGAGGGGGAGAGGGGTCGTAAAGAGGGTCCCGGATCGCATCAGCACGCTTGACTCTGTTTGGAACTATCCTTCATGGCCTTTCAAAGTGGTATAGGAGTCACATATAAAGGCCACTTTGGCTAAACGGACTTCGCTTGTTCGATGAGTTCTATTTTTGACTCCTGTCTTCGAATAGATTAATTTCGATGTTTTTACCACGGATTGAACCAAAACTTACTCCAATATTTTCCAATGCAGAGGCAGGACTAGTAGTAGCAATTCCGATGTCAGGAAGTGGTGTTTGTCGAATCGCCTGTAAGCGAAAAAATATAATTTACGTGCGAAAACAAAGAAAGCAGTTGGGGAAGAGCGAGTTAGAAGGAAGCAAGTTTAATGCAAAGCTGGGACAAAGTGCGCTAACGACTCGAAAGGTGAAGGCGAATAAGCATACTCCAACATTCTCCAAAGCAGATCTAGAGATGGTCGTTGCAAAATCTGTCTCAGGGGCAGGAGTCCTACGAATTGCCTGGAAAGGGCAGAGGACATAGGCTGTGCACAAAATGGGCTCACTATCTTGCCATATTTCAGCCGAATGTCTACTACAGCAAATAAGCTTTGGAATAGAAAGTCAGCCTACTCCGACATTCTCCACAGAAGATGCAGGAGTAGTTGTGGCAACTCCGGAATCAGGAGTACGTATTCTGCGAATTGCCTAAAAGTGGCACTAAACATGCTCAGCTTCCAGTTTGTTTGAATTTGAATTAGATATTGACATTTATTTTCGAGCTATCTTTAGCAAAGTTTTCGTTGTTACTCTAGAGGTATGGAACTAATGGCCTACTGCAACATTCTCCAATGAAGAGGCTGGTGTTGTTGTAGCGATACCAGATTCAGGGGTCCTAGATCTGCGAATTGCCTGGAAAAGGCAAATAACAGATTCATCTACTAAGTTCTGGGTGAATTAAGCGTTAAGGAGTATGCAGAAACTAATTCTTAAGCATACTAAGCTATAACTTATGAGCACTACTGATGACATTCAATTCCAACAGGCTTAGAATTGACTTCATCAATCGTAATCAGCAACTACCAGCAACTACACCATGCGCCTACTCCAACATTTTCCACAGAAGATCTAGTGGTAGTGGCAACTCCAGACTCAGGAATCGGAGTTGTGCGTATCGCCTGGAAAGGCAAGAAAGAGTGTGCTGCTTGCTCATGGATAAGGGACAGTATGTCGTCGACAGGCTCCACTGGTGCGAACAACTACTGGCCGGGGCTCACGATGCACAAAGGTGCATGTTTGTTGCAGTTGTCGGCGCGGGACCTCTCTTTCGATGGCATATGTCCTTTATCCGATGCTTATGTGTTTGCCAAGAACAGATGGAACAGTCAGCCTACAACAATATTTCGCAATGTGGTTTTCGGGGTTGTTGTGGCAAAGTCGGCTTCTGGTGCTGGTGTTTTACGGATTGCCTGGAATGGAATTGAGGCCTTCCCAGCTGCGAAATCGCAATGGCAGCTCACTCCAATGTTCTCCACAGCCGAACCGGGAGTAGTAGTGGCAACTCCAGATTCGGGAATAGGAGTACTCCGAATTGTCTGAAGTTCAGGATAGAATAGAACAAATGATGCTTGATCTCCTAATGAAGCGGTGATTAGCCTACTCCAATGTTCCCCACTACAGATTGAGGCGTAGTCGTAGCAAACTCGGCTTCGGGAGCCAAAGTTCTACGAATTGCCTAGAAAGGTTTTGTATCCCTTGCCGCAGCATTGAACGAAGCATTGATAGCCTACTCCAATATTCTCCACAGCTGTACCAGGAGTGGTTGTAGCAACTCCAGATTCGGGTGCAGGAGTACTACGAATTGTCTAGAATCAATAGTAAGCAGATGAGGTCGTTGAGTAATATTCAAAAATCAAAGTAGCCTACGCCAATATTGCCAACAACAGACTTAGGCGTGGTGGTAGCAAAATCGGCTTCTGGGGCTGGAGTTTTTCGAATAGCCTGAGAATGCATTACGAAACTTAGGCTTCTCTTGCGAAAACTCTAATATTCGCCCACCCCAATATTTTCAACAGCAGTGCCAGGAGTAGTAGTGGCTACTTCGGATACAGGCACTGAACTACTGCGAATCGTCTAGATATGATTTACATAACTCCTCCGGAAAAAATTAATTCGAATCATTTCAATTGAGACTTCAGTAGATGTTTGCAATGCTGTAGCCGGCCATGTCAAATCGTTAATTTGGCTGAAGTTTCTTCAAGTGACTTCGTCAGAGCCTGTAAAGCATTGAACACTCTAATTTACCCTACCTAACATCTCAACACCTTTAGAGTGTTCTACGCTTTATAGGCTCTGACGAAGTCAACTAGGCTGAAACTTAGTCGAACGGTCTACAATATTTGGTATCTACAGCAGCAATCATCTACGGCGATGCCAAGACTTATCAAGAGCGAGATATGAACATACTCCAATATTTCCCAAAATTGACTTAGGGGTGGTTGTAGCGAAAACAGCTTCAGGAGCGGCTGTTTCGCGGATAGCCTAAAACTCACATATGAGTTTACTCAACGTGGATTCATAAACAAGTTCTTACAGCGATATTCTCAATCACTGATCCAGGAGTGGTGGTAGCCACTCTGGATTCAGGAGGCGCAGTTCTGCGTATCGCCTGGAAGGAAGAGAATAATCACTCTTCCTAAAAACTATCAGAATGTTACATACTGCAACATTTTCTAGAGCAGATGCCGGTGTGGTAGTAGCAAATTCTAATTCAGGAACGGAAGTTCTGCGAATTGTCTAAAACCGCCATTGTAATAGATGTGCTAGCCTCCGTCATTGAATATGAAATGGCCCATCAACAGAAGTGTTTTAGCCGAAGTTGAGAGGCATAAGTATTTCAGAAGGAAATCACGAGCACTGAACATCATCTTTTGCAATGAATGCTTGAATATGTAACTTGTTCGAATTTTCTCCTAAAGCCCAATTCTATAGACGAGCTTTCTTTATGCCCAGGACAGCTTGCAATTTAATCATCAACAGCTCAATAGCAAACTTTTTTCGCATTCAAGATGTAGCTTGGGCCATTCTGCAGGAAGTAGATTCCTCAAAAAAAAACTCGAGCACATCTTGGAAAAGGACAAAGCCGAATTGCTGCTACCCTTCGATTTTTTGGGATTCACATCCTTAATTCTTATAAACAAGTATAGTGTAAGTGATAGAAAAGCAGGCCATTTCATATTCACTGATTTGGCTGAGAAAATCTTGAAGACGATGCTTACTCCAACGTTCTCTAGAACAGACTTCGTGGTTGTTGCCCGATCAGTTTCAGGAACCGGAATACTACGAATTGCCTGAATTAGGGGGCACCAATGCTATTGATCGCTGAGTTGGGATGAAGACAATAAAGTCAAGAATCAGCCTACTACAACATTCTCGAGAACAGATCGAGGAGTAGTGGTAGCAAAATCAGTTTCGGGAGCTGGGGTACTACGAATAGCCTAAAATGACATGTAAGCCTGCTTTCAGATGAGCGATCAAGTATAACATCGGCGTAATTCTCTCACTCCAACAACTTCCACCACAGAGCCAGGAGTAGTTGTAGCAAATGAAGTTTCTGGAGCTGGGGTGCTACGAATTGCCTACAAAAAGGATAGGATACGTGCTGAATGCTGGATGAAAAATTATAGGGAGCTCAAAAACCAGTATTAAACACAAAACAGAGTTGACTTGCGAGCCGAATTCAGTACGGACGATTGAGCAAACCGAGCTGGAAATCGTATAATATGGAAAATCGTATAATACGAAAACATATACAATTTTGAATCACAGGCAACTCTGATATTATTTCTATAAAGGAGGGCATTCTACCCAACGATTCTGTGTCCGAATTTTGCTGCACTTACAAATTTTAATTCAGTAAATATTTTTGAGCTACAGCTCAAATTAGTTTTCTTTCGGACAACTGTGAATTGCGAAATACGACTTCAGAGGTTAGGGAATGCAAATCAACTCTGCTTAGTGTTCTGCGCATCAAGAATAAAATCCTACGGCAATGTTTTCGATGACTGTTGCATGAGTTGTTGTGGCAAAATCGGTTTCAGGAGCTGGAGTACTACGAATGGCCTATAGTTGTGAACATCTTTTTCAAAACAGGCAGATTTCGTTCGAGAAGAAGACTTATCCCACCCCAACAGCCTCCAGTGCTGAAGAGGGAGTAATTGTAGCAAAGTCCGTTTCCGGGGCTGGAGTACTACGGATTGCCTGAATTTTGAGAGCAAGAGTGAGGAGAATAATCAAATGCGACAAAGATTCCTAACGAGGATCTGAAATGCTTACTCCAACTTTCTCAATGGCTGCGCCGTGGGTTTTCGTTGCAAAATCGGTTCTAGGAGCTGGGGTACTACGGATGGTCTGAATTAGCAAAATTCCTTTCCTTTTTTTGTACAGGAAAATCAAGAAACTGTTGCATTCACTGAAAGGTTTGATCTTTTCAAAAAGTTTCTGCTTTCCATAGCAACGAGTAGACAGACAACAATGTTGCACTGCCTAACGCCGGCAACATGTTGAATGTTGAGCATTTCGAGTAAAAAATGGGCATACTCCAACAGCCTCTACTGCTGAACCGGGAGTAGTCGTAGCGAAAGCTGTTTCGGGAGCTGGAGTGCTGCGAATTGCCTAGAAGACAGTCTACAGCTAGGGAAGACTTTTTTTTCAAAAACTAATTTCACCGCCAAAAACCTACTTTCTACAAGAAATTTGAAAAAAAAACGCCTACTGCAATATTTTCAATAAGAGATCCTGGAGTTTTAGTGGCAAAATCAGATTCAGGAGCTGGAGTACTACGTATCATCTGAATCGGGTCTCGTTACCCAGTCTTATAAAATAAGAGGAAAGTGAGCGCAGAATATCTTACTCCAACAGTTTCCACTGCGGAGCCAGGAGTGGTCGTAGCAAAAGCAGTTTCGGGAGCTGGAGCACTACGAATGGCCTACAAATAGGTTGAACTAAACCCTTGAGCTTATCAATTCAATTGCAAAGTTAGAGTACGGGATTCACTGCTTACACCAACAACTTCAACTGTGGATGCAGGAGTTTTTGTGGCAAAATTGGTTTCTGGAGCAGGAGTACTACGGATAGTCTGAAGGGAATAAAATCACGTTACATCGCTAATATGCTTCAGAAATCTTAAAAAAGTATGGAAAGTTAGCCTACTGCGACAGTCTCAACTGCGGAAGCGGGAGTAGTAGTAGCGAAGGAGGTTTCGGGTGCTGGCGTACTACGGATAGCCTTAATCAGCTCTTGCAATTTTCGGTAAACAAAACTATTCTTCAGTGGAAAAAATCCAAAAAGCATACAGCGATGTTTTCGATAGCAGATCCAGGGATTCTTGTAGCAAAATCTGACTCAGGAGCTGGTGTGCTGCGAATCATCTAAAGCGTAACGCCTCAATCTTACGGCCCGCTGTTTAGTTAAGACAAATATAGCCTACTGCAACGGTCTCCACTGCTGTTCCATGAGTGGTTGTGGCAAAATCTGTTTCAGGGACCGGTTTACTACATATTGCCTGAAGTAGTGGTAGTAGTCAGAGGACATTAAGGCAGCAGCTATGGAGCTTGAATCAAAGCCTATTGCTATGATAGAATGACTATGCTTACTACAACGTTTTCAACCGCTGATCCACGTGTAGTTGTAGCAAAATCGCTCTCAGGGGCTGGGGTACTACGAATTGCCTAAACTTGGCAGCGGTGAATTTTTTCAGTGTTTTACTGAGATTCGGCTTACTGCAACAGTTTCCACAACAGATTTTGGAGTTGTTGTTGCAAACTCGGTCTGTGGAGCTGGTGTGCTCCTAACTGCCTGAAATTGGCGCCGCTTCTTAGCAAGCATGCGATAAAATTAGAACACTGTATCATGATAAGCCTGATTTGGGTTTACTAGGCAACTGCAAAAGCCTACTGCGATATTTGTGATGGCAGATCCAGGAACGGTTGTGGCAAAATCACTTTCAGGAACTGGGGTACTACGGATTGCCTAAACCATAGCGAATAAACTGTCACTTTCAGATGGAACTAGCTAAAACCACGCTGAAATTTAGCCTACTGCGACAATCTTTAAAGCAGATTTAGGAGTCGTTGTTGCGAAATCAGTTTTTGGGGCTGGTGTGCTTCTCAGCGTCTATGAGAGTGTACAATCATTCTTGCTTATCTGAAACCTTCAAAAGTTGTAAGGCCTACTCCGATGTTTTCTACAGCGGTTTTCGGAGTGGTTGTGGCAAAGCCGGCCTCGGGAGCTGGCGTTTTGCGAATGGTCTAAAATGCTCATGCTAGAGTCGCTCCTTTACTAATCACGTAATCACATACTCCAATATTTTCCAGCGTTGTGCCAGGAGAGGTTGTGGCAAAAGCAGTTTCAGGGGCCGGTGTGCTACGAATCGTCTGTAGAATCAAGAAACTATGATAGGACCCGTCTACAGAACAAAGAAGATGCGGTACTTTTGAGCACTTAGCTTGTCTAGGATTGATAAGAAAATGTGAAGTATCAGAATAAAGCAATGATGACAAGAGGCTCCGTTCGCGGTAAAGCGGAAAGAGTGAGCTATTAGGGCAATGCAAATGCAATGAGCTCTTCTCTACTCTGTTTGGACTCTCACGATTACAAGTAGAATGACGCTATAGGGTGGTCTCGACTACAGTAACAATTGTCCATTGCACATGATGAAGCTTTTAGAATCATAAAATTTGAATTCGACAATTGGTTTAATGCAACCAGTAGCCCATCGCGAGCTCTCCAACCTTGCAAATATGAGTCAAAATAGCTTTTTATGTGTGTTGAGCAGAGGCTAGAACCATGCTAGCAGCAAATGTATGCAGATTAGTATGTACAGAGAAAAGTATGGGTAATGTTTGAAGCAGTATGTGTGCAAAATCTTCTCAAGGACGATCTGAGTTAAAAGAATGCTCATCACTTTTGCACCAACATAATCATTCTTCTAGCGAATAAGATTTATAAACTGTCGGGGTTTTGCAAACTTTGCGTTTGGTTCAACTTGCCTACAAGTGTGCATTACTTCAAAAGCTTTTTACCGCATCTTCACCTACAGCAAATGCTTACTCCAATACTTCCCACAGCGAATTTAGGAGTAGTTGTGGCATAAACAGCTTCAGGAGCAGGAGTCTTGCGAATGGTCTAGAATTATGACGAGGTTTGGGTACTTTGTCAAAAGTAAAGCGTTTTGCGCATACTGCAATATTGCCTACGACAGAACCAGGAGTTGTTGTGGCAACACCAGACTCTGGAGTTGAGGTTTCACGAATTGTCTGGAATCATAAAGTGATGAAAATTGAAATTCGGAAAAGACGAGCTTTTTATTACTAGCTCACTCCTATATTTCCCAGAACAGTTTTTGCGGTTGTTGTTGCAAATTCGGCTTCAGGAGCTGGTGTTTTGCGAATCATCTAGAAATGTCAAGACGGTGAACACTTGCCACTTCAACAGTGAAAAAGATACTATGCCCTTCTATTAAATTAGCCTACTCCAATATTTTCTATTGGTGTTTTGGTAGTGGTGGCGTGTTCTGCTTCGGGAGCAGGGGTTTTGCGGATCATCTGAACACGTAATGGGTAAACTCTCAGTATCTGGGAATATGTGATCCTACTCCAATATTTTCTACAACAGATCCGGGGGTGGTGGTGGGTAGCTCAGATTCAGGAGCTGGTGTTTTGCGAATGGTCTATAAGTCGCACTTTGAATTAAGATGTATACCAAAAGTTGTGTGTTACAACCAACCCCAATGTTGATTACAGCAGATTTGGGTGTGGTAGTGGCAAATTCCGCTTCAGGAGCTGCTGTTTTACGGATTGCCTAAACCTCACAGAATGTCCACTTTTGGTTCTAGAAAACAGCTTGATCTGCATGCATTCAAAAGCCTACGGCAATATTCTCCGCAGTAATTCCCGGAGTGGTGGTAGCAAAATCAGTTTCAGGTGCTGGAGCGCTACGAATTCTCTGAAATTTACAAAGAGAGTGAAGCATGCAAGTAGTAAGTCACCCAAAAAGTTTCCGCACTATTCTCGTTCTTCCAGTGTTCTACCCTTCTCTAACATCTTCAACCTTCATTATTAATGTGAATAAATGTGATGAGAGATTTTACAGGATGAAACTTACAAGCGGTATTCTCTAAAGCGCCTTTAGCTATAAACTTCGACGAAGCGTCTCAGAGCATGCAAATGGTATCCAAGAAAAACTCTGTTTAGTTTCATTGAAGATCTTATAAAAAAAAGGCTATAAACTATTACTACTTCTGCATGCTAATTTCTCAAAAAATCGAAGTTCAAGCATCTCACAGTTGCGCAGCTACTTATTTAACACGCTTAATTGTATAGGAATGTTACGTACTACTCAAAAACCTGCTCGATCTGCATCTGCAAAATCTGCAAAAATTTAAGCAAGCTTGCGCTTAGAACACTCTATTCCTGGGTGATGAAAATAATAGATATAGATAAAAACAGTGTTACGATAACTTGACTTTGAAGAAGTTACTACTGTGCTTTCATTAGTTTTGGAGGCAGTAGTTGTATGGATGCTGGTTTTGCTGAACAGAAAGTATAGTCAAGATATCGATACTAACAGCAACATATAGCAGTACTTTGAATGAGGGAGTCACTTTACCAAAGAAGGAATGTTGAAACTTAGAAAGCAAGAAAAGCGAAATCAAATTTACCATGGTCATAACATATGAACCACTTGTTTTCTCATTTACCAAAAAAATCTCCTTTTGCAAACGTTAACGAGCCTCAACACAACGTTGTACGTTGATTGATCGAGTGACGGCTTAGCCGAAACGATTTAGAAAAGAGAAGAATTTTCGTCAGGGAATAATTTCTACGCTGCGTGCAATAGTATGGAACTTTTTGTGTGAGCTCGCTACAAAAAGGCAAGAATAAGGCCCTACTCCGATACTTCCCAAAGCAGGCCTAGGAGTGGTTGTGGCATAAATAGCTTCAGGGGCTGTGGATTTACGGATTGCCTGCAAATGCAAGAGATAACATGCGTCACCATACGCATACTAGCGCTTACAGCAATGTTCTCCACGGAAAATGCGGGTGTGGTTGTGGCAACAGCGGATTCAGGTGCTGGAGTTCTACGGATAGTCTGGAAATTATGCAACCAACTGCATCCGCGGACCTATTGGTTATTGAGAAAAGATTTATGTTAAAATGTGCCTACAGCGACACTTCCCAGATTGAATTTTGGAGTAGTGGTGGCAAAATCGGCTTCAGGGGCCGGTGTTTTGCGAATGGTCTAAACATAGTACGCAAGGTGTTAGCCGACTGCGATAATGTATATCGAAGTGCCTACACCAATGTTTTCAATAGCTGTTCCAGCAGTAGTCGTTGCCATTCCCGTTTCGGGAACTGGAGTGCTGCGAATCGTCTGAACTGGCGCTTACATACTCAGCAGTACATCTATTTACTGTGCCTACTCCAATACTTCCCAAAGCAGATTTAGGCGTAGTTGTAGCAAACTCAGCTTCGGGAGCGGCTGTCTTGCGGATAGCCTAGAACGGAGAATCTCAGCGCCTTCACCTTTCAATGGGAATGGACTGCTGTGAGCACAGGAACAGGGGAAGTAAGTTAATCGCGAGATGAGTGGTTAATGAAGCAAAGACTACGGTTTAGCATACTCCGATATTCTCGACAGCAGAACCAGGCGTGGTAGTGGCATGCCCTTGCTCAGGAGCTATGATTTTACGAATTGCCTGAAATTTATGTAGCGCTATTAAAAACCGTATTCAAGCAACACTTTCAACATGAAAAGGCCCCACAAAAGCACAATTTGGAGAACTAAATAGGCATTAAGAGTCAAACAAGCATGAGCCTACTCCAACATTTTCCACATCAAAACGCGTTGTTGTGGCAAGGCCATGCTCAGGAGCAGGAGTTTTACGTATTGCCTAAAAAGGTCGAGAAGAGTTACAAACAAGATCTCAGCATGACCGAAGATGAAGCGGTTTTTAGAGGTCTTCGTAAGATCTATCAACACTTTCATCATAGTAACAAGAATTAGCCTACTCCAACATTTTCCACAGCTGACCCAGGAGTTGTTGTAGCAACTCCATGCTCAGGAGCAGCACTTCTTCGTATTGCCTGCAAATCATGCTAGGATTGACCACTGTTATAGAATGGTGAGTTTTCTTATAAGACATTTCTCTTTTTATGCAATGCTTATGCAATGCTGCCTCATCAAAAAATCCTACATTAGCCGAATTTCATCAACTAAAATTTATAGCCTACACCAATATTCTCCAATAAAGTCGCAGGAGTTGTGGTAGCAAAATCGGCTTCTGGAGCAGGAGTTCTACGGATAGCCTGCAAGCAGTATTGTGAACCTTACCCCATACACTCTGATGGGCCTTCTGGAGCGTTACTATTGAAGTGATAACATAATGATGTGAGAAGTTTTGTGAGATTTTGGTGTGGCTGCAGTCTTCAAAGTATTAGGTTGGGATGAAAAGATGTCGTTATTCATAGCAAAGCAACAAGACGAATGGCGTTAGTGCTTTAGTTAAAAAACATCGATTTTAGCTGACAAATGGAAGAAAGCGACATTTTTCTTTCCATCCTAACATCATCTTTTCTGAGACACACAAGATAAGAAACCGTTTGCACATTGTCCATATATGTTTGAAATCATTCTTTTGTGTTTCCAAGTACTGTAATTCTAAAAGAGATAGATTACAAATAAAGTTATTGGACCGATCGTTCAATTTTGTTTCATGTGGCTATTTCACACACAGCGCAACGGTCGGCTTAATGATTTGTTAATCCACAAGGTATAGTCTCTTCTACCAGAACAATAAAAGCTCCCATATTTTTTGTAGTGCCATTGTTGCAATGTGCATAGAAAAAGCCTTGGTATCGTTGGACCCTATATATGTATATATCGTTTGCTACGTGACGTGTTATGTAATAACATAATTTTCTTGAATAATGAGCCTACACCAATATTCTCCACAGCAGATCCGGCAGAGGTGGTCGCAAAAGCAGCCTCCGGCGCAGGAGTTTTGCGAATTGTCTGGAAAATTAGAGACGGTCCCAAGAGACGGTAAACAACATAAGGTATGCTCAAAAATGAAATATGTGCTTCAAGATCACTTCTTACGATTAGATTCAAGAGGATTGCGTTAAGATTAGCCTACACCAATATTTCCGATTGCAGATTTAGGAGTGGTTGTGGCGTAAATAGCCTCAGGAGCAGGAGTTCGGCGTATTGCCTGGAAATGGCACTTTGAAGCTCACTGGACTAGCGTGTGGCTTCGGCCATTGGATATAGCTTACTGCAACATTTTCCACAGATCTGAGAACTGTAGTAGCCTTTCCAGACTGAGGAACTGAAGTCTTGCGAATGGTCTAAGAAAGAGGAGGGTAAGCTCAGTCAATTGGCCCTTGCGAAATGTAAAAGGAAAGCAAAAATAGCCTACTCCGACATTTTCAAAAGCAAAAGGAGTGGTCGACGCATAGTCTGGAGCAGGAGTTTTGTGAATGGCCTAGAAACGTCAGGAAATTGGGTTAGGCAATGCGCTATTTGGCCATAGTGTTAGCTTTAATGCTTTTAGCCTATATAAGCAGCAGCTCTCACTGTAACATTTGTCAATGCAGTTTTTGGAGTGGTTGTAGCAAAGTCGGTTTCGGGAGCCGGTGTTTTACGAATTGCCTGGAATTGGTGAGGTGCACAACCATCAATGGATAGCAATGACTCAAAATTTTGAGAAGCATCGGCATTAAAAACCTTGCTTCCGCCGCGCTCAGACATTGGTGAAGTTCAACCTACTCCTATGTTCCCTATTGCAGTTCCGGGAGTAGTAGTTGCGAATTCTGCTTCCGGCGCGGGAGTCCTACGGATGGCCTGGAAAAAGGAGTTTAGGAATATCGCTAGATACCAAGATACCACAGGGCTTGTTCCATGATTTGATATACGATTGGAATATTCCAAAAAAATCTTATGCCTACCACTTCTGTTGTCGACGAGTTGCAAATGTTGCTAGAAACTTATCTTTCCTGTAGGTGATGTAGTCCTAGCAAGGAAATCTTTGATTCTTCAATTCATAGTGGGAGTCAAAACAAACTTTTCGAAGAGAGAAACTGTAAAATTTTTGAGAAACGAAAAATTCGGAGTATTGAGCGGAATGAGGACTCAGATTAGTCTGCACTACCCAAAATAATCTTTTTTCCAGGAATTCCAGTAAAGCATTTTTGAAACTGGCGCAAAGAACTTGGAGATATTTGGCAGCATTCAAAATGTAGAAATACTGAAATAAATCAGGCAATTTCCCAAGTCTTTCTATGAAATGACTAATGAAGTGACGTCTAATGGTCATTCCTGATACATATGACCTAATAAACAATAGAAACTAACAGCAATATTTCCGATGGGTGTCGAGGTGACATCTGCGCGATAGGATTCGGGAATTGGGGCTCGTCCAATGGCCTGCAAATAATTCAGTATGCAAACACTTTGCTCTTTGAAATCTCAGGAAGATTTTCGCCTTTGAAGCACTTCTGTAAATGGTAGCTTATTTTAGTGTATATAGAAAGAGGCAAAGTTTTGCATGCAAAATGAAGTCTTCGATCCTATTACTGCTCATACTTATGACTTATTTACTTGATTTATGACTTCGTGAAATTCTCGGGTAGGGATTTAGTTAGACATTCACTGTATAGTGTCGCAGAATATTTTAGGTTCAATGAGCGAAAAAAAATACATTCTTCAGATTTGCTAGGTGTGTTGGATGGGTACTTTCGAGTCAACAGCGGAATAATATTTGAACTAGCAATTAAGCGTAAATACTTGCTCAAAGGGCATTTTGAAAGAAGACTGCGAAACTTTCCGGAAAATCCTCCGCTTTTGGGTCAAACTGGAGTTTCTTTTGAGGAGACTATTCTCTAATCCGAAAAAGCTAAGTACCTTTCAACGTAATAAAAATCTGAGTATCATATTTAGCACCGAATAAAGAGATGTTGAGAAAAAGAGGCAATGCCCCGCCACTATTGCTATCATAGGCTATAGGCTAATCTACGAAACACTGCTTGTATTTTCTTTCTGTCTCGTTACCGTTTGCAAACGACTAGCAATATGTAGCTTATTCAATTATAGAAATAGTAGATTGGTACATGCAAGCCAATCTCTACCTATAGTTTCTAACAGTGTTATAAATTAGGTAAACTTACCGCAATGTTTTCTACTGACACTCCACTGGTTACGGTAGCTTGATGTGTATCAGGATGCGGTATGTGGCGAATCGCCTGAAATTGACCGATATGAGCAGAAACATTATATTATTATATTATATTTATTGCACAGGAAGTGCGCTTTTACAAATGCGGATGAGGATAAAGAAGAACGAAAAAATCCGAGTAATAATACAGAAGATTCCGCCACCTTAACATTTCGAGAAAGAAGTGGCCATCGTACCATAAAAATATGGATAATCTTCATGAATTACTAGCTGGTATGCCCGGCTTTGCCCGCACCGTGGGTTTAAGTGACCCAACAAAAAGCAAGGTTGCTGCGCATTCCCAAAGACTTTACCTTCTGCGTTCCGGCGTTTTTCTCTTTTATTACACAGGGCTTTCTTGATCGATCCCTTAGATTATCGCATATCCCTTATTGTGGAATGAAAATGAGTTCTACCGCTATTGTTTACAGGAAATTGGAAGAGATTCGATAATAAACGATAAGAGTTAATTTTCCTTCAAAGTCGATAAATCAATAAAAGGAGCCTGAATTTTGCCACGAAAAGTAGCTTACGAGGTAGACCGGTGTCGAAAACATGATTGAGCAAAGTTTGGAGATGATCGGTTCACACACGAAATTCTTTGTAAAGAACATACTAGCTAACAATTTACCAACACTCCTTATTAATGTATAGATTAACACTTTTATCTGATGAGTGGAAATTCGACGCAAGCGTTGTTATTCAAACACCTACTGCCAATAGTCGTAAGAGCTGATGGTCGAGAGGTCTCAACTCTAAAAACAATTAGACTGCGTCTTGACTAAGAGGGTGTGATAACATCCACTTCTTTTTTTGACAAGAGGTAGTGTTTCGCTTAGAATCGTTTTGTCCGATAGCACAGATGACAAAAAAGTTGGGTGAGCGAAAACACAGTGTAGGTTAAACAGGGTTCGGCGCAGCTGGTACCGGCTAGCTGCATATCGTTTTTGAGCGGAAAAGCAAAGGGGATATAGTTTTTGCGGGTTAGCGTGCCACTGTCTGTTAGCATGCCGGGATCACGCTGTCGGCACGCTGTTGGCATGTCTACTCTTTACATCGCTATTTGTCAGCAAACCGGCGACATGCTAACAGCTAATCATCGCGGGAATTCAAAATTGTGTCATAGACAAACAAAAGCCTTGTTTACAACCAAGTAGCAATGATATGTCACCAACTTTGGTGTGCACGTGGAGGGTTACCAATAATGACCCAATAGTTTATTAAAACTTATGTGAGTGAAAGCCGTGCTTAACTTTTAGCTAGAACCTCACACTTGGTTGCTAAATGAGCTGAACCAACCCTTAGGACGCAAATTTCTTCGTATTTTCATACGTAAATTGTATCTTAACTGTAAATGTTTTTATACAGAGAAAAACGGTTCTATAATTTTTCTTCTAGCTTTTTTATAGCCCTCAAGAGTTCTTCACTAACGCTCTGCCATCGCAAAATGAGCCCAACGCGAGAATCCTCTACTTTGCTGGCCGTTCGGTGCTCTTCATCTTTCTTCTTTGTTGTTTTCTATGGGGGGGGGGAGGTGGAGAGGTAGAGTGAGAGAGAGAGAGAGAGAGAGAAAAGAGAAGTGAAAGATGAAAGGCAGGATCTGTAGGTTTTTGCTTTTTTGTTGTTCTCGGCTTTCTGCTCATTATTCTGCGTTAACCGCATTTTACCCAGGACGAAGGGCAAAAGCCAAGTGGAGAGAAGTGAGGAGAGCCAAAGAATGGCCAAAGGGGACTTCGTAGAAGTTTTCGAAATCAAAGGGTACTTCGTTACTTTTTGAGCTTTGACATTTTTTGGCTTAGCTGCAAACTTGTAATTTTGAATTAAATATTAGGTTGTCCGGAAATTAATGCAGGTTCTGAATTCCAATCGCAATAAGTCATACACTTCTCATTTCTAAGTAGGTTGCGCAATACCATTCGATAGAACAAAGCAAGCTCTACAAGATGGCAATCTTGTTTTAGCAATAGCTCTAATCCACCACGAGTTTCGACCAAAAGCTAAAAAGATTCAACTGCCCGAAGAAATGGGAAAAATCGTAACTCAGTTCATAAAAATCCTACAAGAATTCTAACTTGCTCATGTAAACACAATCCACATAGGGCATCTATATACGCCGTTGCCGTATTTTTTTCTCTTTTATATATCAAGAAAACGGAAATTTTCGTGCATTTGACAAAGTGGTGCTGTGCCGTTCCAACATAAGTAGTTGCATACTACAAACCTGTAGAAGTACAAACGTAAATTTCCAGTTCTCTACAAGCTTTAGTTCTCGAGAAATTTGAATTTTAGCTTGGACCAGTCGACTAGAGAAAACTGTATCTGATATTTCTCGAGAACTAAAGCTTGTAGAGAGATGGAAATTTACGTTTGTACTTCTATAGGTTTGTAGTACACAACTTAGTACTTATGTGGGAACGGCACAGCACCACTTTGGCAAATGCACGAAAATCACGGTTCTCTTGATTTCTAACAGAGAAAAAATACGGCAACGGCGTATATAGATGTCTTAAGTGGACAGTGTTTGCATGGACAAGTTAGAATTTTTGTAGGACTTCTATGAACTGAGTAACGATCTTTCTCAGTTTTTCGGACGGTTGAATCTTTTTAGTTTTTGGCTCAAAACTCGTGGTGTATTAGAGCTATTGCGAGAGCAAAAGAGCCATCTTGTAGAGCTTGCTTTGTTCTATCTAAAATTACTTTGCGACCTGTTTAGAAATGAGAAGTGTATGACTTATTGCGGTTGAAATTCAAAACCTGCATTAATTTCCGGACAACCTAATACCTTATTGTTAGAAACTATAACTGTGGGTATTTGTTGCGCCTCCCGTTCTATCATTTATTTTTGAAATACCCATTTCTGAGTGCGAACTGAAATTGGAACTGATGGCTAAAATTCCAAATTATCTCTTTCAAACGAATGAAGTTACAAAGGAAAATCTGTCAGCACTTTTGGATCTCGCTACAGGGTGTTTGGAAAGTGAGTGGCCTAAAGTGCTTCCAATTCGAATTTTGACGCGCTTTTTGTTCTATTGAAGAAAAGGACGAAGGAAAGAAGAAAGGAAACAGAAGGAAACATAATCCACAGAAAACTTGTTCCTTCTAAAAACCCTTTCTTTAAGGTTTCTTACATGTGCTTCTACTTTCGTAGAAGTTTTGAGTCGAGTTCGTTTTGAGATACCGTGCCTTGAAATACAGTCGAGTATTCCGCTTAATATACAATACCGCTCACATTTTTTGAAAAATAGACGCGAATGCATGGACATGTACGGACATGTACGGACATGTCCATACATGTCCATACAGGTCCATACATTCGTGTCTATTTCAAAAAATGTGAGCGGTATTGTAGTGTGCTTGCACTGAAGGTGAAATGCGGTAAAATTTGCGCGTGAACAAGTAGCCACGCCAATTATGCCAACATTTTGCGCGCAAGTGGCAGGCATCACAGGCGTAGCTATTTCTTCACGCGCAAATTTTACCGCATTTTAACCTTCAGTGCAAGCACACTATATTGAGCGGAAAATCTACTCGACTGTACAAGAATTCAGTTCCAGGATTTTTTCGGCAATAAATCCAGCAACAAGATTTTTATATTTTATCTTTAAAACCTTCACGCGCGTGCAAAATTTTTGAAAATCAATATAGTGGAGATCAAAGAGTTGCGCTACAAATATAGGTTGAAATAAGACTCCCAAAATCTGTTAAACCGAAAAAATCTCAATGCAAATATGTGCCGCGATTGTCTCTGTAATTTAACACATGAAGAAGTCTTTGTTAGAAAGCTGCTGAGGAACTTTTGTTATATAAAGAAACTGTAAACTTAGGATTATTGTTTTCGGGCATTGAAAAAGGTAGAAAAACTTAGATAACGCTCTCTTCAGCCTCTTCAAGAAAGCCGAAAAATTTGTTTGCTTTCAAATTTTTTGAGATATCTTGAGGCAAAAAATAGTTTTTTCTGTGGACCTGTGGTTTCTAGGCCTAGCGAACTATAGCAAAAATGAGTTAGGATTCGCAATTGAAGTACTTGGGGCCACAAACTTTTCAAACATCTATTCCCGAAAAGCAATCTTATTAGAGTCGAAAGCTTACCGCTATATTTCCTACGCTATATCCGGAAGTGAGACTAGCCTTGTGAGATTCTGGGGCTGGAGATCTTCGAATTGCCTGCAAAACAATTTTCCTTTGTAACGTTGAACTTTACATCTTTTGGCTAACGTTTCTCTAAACAAGTAAATCCATCAAATAAAGCTTCTAAACATTCAGGTGAGCCGAGGTCATCCAATATTGCAAAAAAAAAACAGAGAATTCTAGCGAATGCCTACCGCGATGCTTTCAACAGATTTTCCACGAGAAAGACGAGCTTTGTGAACTTCTGGAGCCAGGGATACGCCAGTAAGCTGAATAAAACTTTGTTTGCGGCACACTTAAGATAGCCATGTGAATGTATCTCACTGCAATATTTTCAACTGATGCTCCATGAGTGAGCCGCGCCTGATGTGTTTCGGGTGCTGGTGATTGACGAATTGCCTGAATTTCAACTGATACATTTTACACTATTAGATGGAACTTTAGGCTTTTGCTATGGCTTGATCACATGATCTATTGAAGGCTTATCCTGCTATTTAATTTTACGAACTCGCAAAATGTTTAATAGGAAGAAGATTCACGAGCTCACTGAGCGATAGCACGAGAAATCTCGTACACTATAATTTAAGCATTATTCCAGAAGGCGAAACTGATACTGCAGCTGCTCTGTTTGCAATTTGAAGTTGAAAAAGGGCACATACTGGATGATGAATAACCTCTTTCATGTTTATCAAAAGTTATTCAGTGCTCCACTGCTTCTCTCCAAATTATCGCACACCCATTTATTTCACCTACGAAATTAATGTGGTCAACTCAAAAATCCCCACATAAAATTTTTTTCATGAAATGACCGAGTGATAACTCACAGCGCTATACATTTTCTCTTGCTTCTCCGTAGTGATTTTCTGTTTGTCCGGCTTCGCCTCGGGCACCGCCTCGTAGTAAGCCTAAAATGTGGTACCAACGTAAATTTGGGTTATGCGTTGCATGAAAGCTTGCAGATTATAAACTTTGTATAATGGGTATATTTTTTGCTTCAGAGTACTAGTTTGAAAAAATTTTTTCAGCTAGTTCAAAGACGTGCAAACGAAGCAAAAAGTTGTAAATGTTTAGCGCTTGAGCACTAAAATCTTTTTCAAGTTAATATCCAACGACGGTATGCGAATTACCCTTACCCCTGCGTGGTAAGCCTCCGTTGTGACCTGTGTAGTTGTTGTTGTTTCGACCTTAGGTGCAACTTCGTGAATTTGCTGGAATTTGATCCTTTAGTTATTTGAAACACTTCGCAGGATCAGTCCCTTTTACAGATCTTTAGCAAGATTAGAATCATAACTTGTAAGCGACGAGATCTTACCCCGGCATGATATGTTTCAGCGACCTGAGTCGTTGTGGTTGTCTGGATTTCTGGTTGTGGAGCAACATCAATTTTCTGGAAAGAACATTTTTTCTTCACTTTTTAGTGGGAGCAGAAATAATATCGTAGACGGCAGAATTGTTGTTACTCAGGAAATTGAAACTTACTCCTGCATGATATGCTTCCAGAGAGACTTTGGTGGTCGTACTCGTTTCGATTTCAGGTCTTGGTGCTTCATGGATCTCCTTCAAGGTAAAAATTATGCAAAGTTTTCAAATTTATTGCGATCAAAAGTCCATAATGTTGTCAAAGGATAGGAAACTGAAAAAGCGCTTTTTAGTGGAAATCAAAGAAGAGAGAACCTGCGCGTACTCCTTCGTCAGAGTGCGAGTGGACTCGCTCTCTGTTCGCGGTAGAGCATCTCGCATCAGTTCGTCTACCATCTAATCTTCCATTATTAGGATTAGTAAAAGGCCAAAAACTATTTTATTACTTTTACGTAAGTTTCAGCTGTTTGCACTTCGCGTCGCGTCGCTTGCTCGAGAATATCGTCTATTTGCTGGAAATAACTATATTAGTCTAGCGAATCTAATGATTAGGCCAGAAAGGTAAAGTTGTAGATCAAATAAGCTCAAGACTATGCAAAGAAAATTAGCAGATATTTCTTAGGAAGAAAATATGAGATACTGGCACTAACATCTACCCAGCGTCGTTCTAACACCCTCTTCTTCTCGCTTGTTACAGAAATCGGTTCAGAAATCGGTGACGGTTGGGACATCTGTTCCTCGACCAACTTAAATTTATGCCACTCTTGCATAGTGTTATCAGAAAGGAAGTTTACAATGGAAAACCAAAGGAAGAATACACTGGAAAACTCAGGAAACAGAACCTCAACCCATCGTTTTTCAGTAGTCTTCTTTGTTTCTTGTTGTCGTGCAGCTCTTGCAGCTTCCTGACGCTAAAGATGTTTTCTTGGGTTAGAAAAATCTTTTGTATTTTGTCAAGCCACACAGGAGTAGAACCGAAAAAGGAGTCAAAGGGATGCTTCTATGAGTATAAGGCGGAATATGGTCTTCTCTGATATTGATAATGGAATCAGACGTAGGTACCTGTTTTTCAGATTGAAGCTTCTCGTAAGTGTCCTGAAAAGAATACAGTTAGCTACTGATAGGTTACACTTATGCTTGAATAATTTTACCTCCTGAAGCATATCTTCAACGACAGTTTTGGTGGTGGTTGAAGGCTGGACAGTCAACGTGGCCGAGGTGTACGATTCGCCATATTCGTTGGTAGCCACAGCCGTATAGGTGCCGGCATGAGCAGGGGTGATGGGTGAGATGATCAAACGATGCCAGCCTTCTTCCTGAACACCGTCTTTACATTATATATCCATTTAAGTCATTTTTGTGATTTACCGTTTCCTCGATTTTCGTGGTAGTTGTTGTGTAAATGGGCTGCTCTTCAAATCGCCATTCCACGCGAGGGCGCGGCTCTCCTTGCACGTTTATCTGAAATATTTGATACTCATATCCAGAGAAGACATGAGCTGAAATTAACAGATATCTTAATTATCTAAATTCGACTGAGTAAAAATCTATTGTCTTGTTTGGGAGATGATTCGGGAGAGCTACTTTTTTACTGTTTCAAGGAGATGAGAATGGAGCCTATGTATCGTGTCTGTAGAATTTCTTTTTTAGGGAAAATTACTCATAGATGTTGGGAGTATGATGTACTTAATATACGATGCTGATGTACAGTAACAAACACAGTAGTCAATCTTTTGGGTACACTTATGCACAATTTTTTGGCATGGATAATAGTGGCGATTCAAATCTCAGGTACGAAGCTGGGATGACAGAGTTTCAAGCAAAGAAACTTGATGACCTAAAGTTTTGCAAAATTTTCTGTCTGCCAAACCAGGAGTTGCTGGAGCGAAGGATTATTTTCAGTAGCATTTTGGAAGCAACTGGTGAAAGACGTGAGGAAAAGGAAAGAGATGCAAAAGCTTTTTATTACCTTCATGTGATACAAAGCTACGCAGATAACTAATTTCTATTGATGGAACTGATAGCGAAAATTTCTAAAATCGAATAGGCTTTGAGTGAAAATTGGAGAATTTCTGACAAGTTCTGATTGCGATGCAGAATCTAATGTTTACAGAATCCATACCATCTCATACCCCAGCTATTATCGAAAATGGAGATTACGTGCCTGAAGGATTGCTGTATCTCCTTCTTCGTACGTGGTGCTGGTTAACGTCGTTCTGATTGTCGGTGGTTTAACAGGGCGCCCCAGAGGCTTTGGAGGAGTGGGTGGTGGTTGTTTCTTAGGAATGACCTGAAATTATGAATTTTCTAATAATGATCTAGATGGTGTTGATTAACAACCTTCAGTTGACAGAAGTTGATAGCCTCGCCATGGATATTTTTCGCTTTGACAGTGTACAATCCGGTATCGGATGGTACTGAAACTAGAATGCTAGTAGGGGAAGCGGGTTAACTAGTTAATGATGTGGATAACCTGTCCGATCAATGGTAAGCGTGCAATGGTCGCCGGTAAATTCGAAGTGCACTCTCTTGTCTTCCTTTATGGTGTTCTCTTCTTTGTACCAAACCTATAACAGAAATTGTGAGTTCTACCAAAAATGTCTGCATGCATCAGTGTAATTTCTCAAAATGCCGCTGAATGATGCAATCATCAACCAGGGAGAATTCCTTTTAGGAGTGTGACACTTACCACTTCTGGTTCCGGACGACCAACAACAACGCAGTCGAAGCGAGCTGTCTCTTCTTCTGTCACTGTTACATTGGTTAGTTTCTTAATAAATCGCGGCTTTTCCTCTTCGAGATAGCTAGAAACGGTTGAGCGGGCTGAAAATGCATAGCTTAGGAAGTTCCTTGTTTCCAAGAATATGAGAGCAAATTGTGGGTTTTCTTGTAATCGGGACGAGAAATTTAAGTAAAAAAGTGATCATCAGGCTCTTTTCTTTGTGTTTGTTTTGACATGGTATAGAAACATACATTTAACTGTTAGTTTGGCGCTGCTTTCCGCAACTCCTCCTTCGTTTTCGGCTCGAACCGTATATGTGGCCGTATCTTCGATGAAAGTTTCCTGGAACAATCAGCACCACAATATATGACAAAAATTTCATAATTGTTTTGTAAGCACTTGATGTCGTTAAAGAAATTCGCACCTCAATAACTAGGCTAGCAACTCCGTTAATGTATTCCTGACGATAGTCGATGTTGTTTTTGACGTCGATTCCATCCTTTAGCCAGCTGAAGGAGAATTCATAACTATTCTAGCCTCGTCACCGTGTTACAGTAGGATGAATACGGTATAATTTTGCAAAGAGACCCACGTGATTTTTGGTTCTGGCTCGCCCTCGATCCGTGCAACAAACTCGAAGCGGGTACCTTCTTCAACCTTGAAATTTTGATATTTCTGCCAAGTTTCAACTCCTAAGCAAATATTATCAGACCTGGGCATCCTGCAGGGCGGTGAGAATTTGAGGAGCTCTGATTGTTTCTTCGACTTCTTGCTGCGCGAATGTTTCGTACTCGATTTCCACCTAACAAAAGGGCTGTTTCGTTTCTCGATTTCAAAAACATTAGCTGATTCTTTAAAAACTTGTAGCTGATTCTACCTTCTTCTTTAGCTTCTTGTAGCGCTCCATTATCTCCTTCTGTCTCCTCAGCAGCTCGTCAATTCTTCTGTTGTACTCCTCATCTGCAAGATATGGCAATAGAATCATGGAAATTCCGCATAGGTACACAATGTATTGGGAGTTGTAGCCGGTACGTAGCAAGGCGTAAAATACGAGGAAAGGGTGGAAATATAGCAAAAGAAGTTTTTTCTGCTTTGCTCACTTTCTCTATACTTTCTCGCGTCTTCCAGTTTCGCCGTCTGTTGGTCGATCGTCTGACCCAGCTCAGCAACTCTGCGATGAAGCCCTTCGCTCTCCTACAAGAAAATTTTTGACCTCGAGTCATCAGATCTCAAAAAATCAACCTGCAGAGTAGTGACGGCAGTGTTCTCGAGGAGTCTAATGATCTCCCACGTGTCTTCCTGCCACATCTCAATCTCCTCGATGATCCTTACATGCTTCTTCAGTTCGATCTGAAACAGAACTGATGAGCTTTGGTTCTTTTTTGAATGCAAAATCGAAAGCTCTTCAAAGCTTCACTCAAAGCTTGCCTTATTTCTCTGCCAATCGTCCCATTTCGATCTGAGATAAATGTAGCGGTGATCGTGGTCGATCAGCATATTCTGTGCCGCTCTTACGGATCGATGTACATCCAGAGTCTCATCACTTCTTTGTACTGTCTGAGCAGCATTGACAAATCTTTCAACTGAAATTTGCTTCTGATTTTCCATGCAGCTAGAGTGAAAGGGGGTGTAGGTCAAGAGGCATGATTTTTATTGTCAGATGGACATCAAGTAGAGCATTTTCATGTTCAATGAAGATCTAAAAGCCTATCAGACTTCTGAGGAGTTACATAAGACCACTGCTTTGCCGTTTAACCTTATCACCTTGAAATCTATTGAGAATATAGATGTTAAAGTTCAAAACTCGTGAAAATGCATCTAGTCGCAATTTCGTAGACATTTCGTTCAACTCTTCACCCAAACCCGCCAAACTTAGCACGTGGTGACTTCGGATAGCCAGTAAGCTGTATAACTTTGCCTGGTTTCTTGAAAGACTTGGACAGCTCTAAATTGGGCTATTGATCTGATTACGTATGGAGAAGGCGCACCTCTTGACCGTCTCTTCCAATGAAAGGGATTACAGGAAGGTTTGCAGCATTCTGCTTTTCCGAAACAGTATGTTCGACAAACCCTTCTGATGGAAGATACCCCTAGTTCTATATAATGTAATCATTTTCTAACTTTCGACAATGGCTAGTGAAGCCCACCAACGAAAAACTTTTGCGATGATTTTCAAAAAGTTCCGAAATTCAATATTAGCCCTGTAAAACGATTTTTTTCGGGGCGTGGCTGCCTCCACACATTTTTCCTCCTGAAACCTCGGGACTAAGGCCCGCAGAAACTTTGGGAAGCATCCCAAAAAAATCTTGAAGTGGCTAACGCCTTACGTCTCTTCCAAAAAAATTTTGTTCCCCGACTGGACATCCTGGGTAGGCAACTGATGTCAACATATAATTACATGTACTGGCTATACTAGCGTTACTGCTCTGTCAAGATTTGCACAAACTGAATTCGTTTTGATCTCGACTCTGTGAAAGGTATGCATAGGTTAACCGTTATAGGTATGACAATTATTAGTTGATATGATTTTGTTTACTAAAGCATTCTCAATATTATCATTTGAAATGTCTGTAGACATTCTTCTGCGGGTTTTGCTGTATTCTGTCAAGCTTTGTGTTTCAGTTGAGTTGGTTGCGCCCAACTGTGTAGAATGCAGGATCATTTAGAGCGAATAACTGCTTTTCTATAAGGAAGTCACGGCCAGCTGCTAAGAGTCAGCTGGTTCCTTCGTGCTTTTTTCGGCAAAAACTAATAAGAATACGTGACAGTGTAAGTGAGCGCATATTTTTTCTTATTGTTGGTTCTACAACTCAGTTCGTCATTCTACAGCTGCTCGGGAGGATGCAGTAGTATAGACTCAACATCACTCACCGTCATGTTTCTCCTGAGTCATCGTCTCCTCAATCATGCGGAAGACATTATTCACTTGTGCTGCCACCTTATCGCTCGCGAAGTCCCTATTGGTGTCAAGCAGGGATCCGAGAGCATCAAACGATGATTCTAGGTCTTTCGCGAATTTGTGCACCTCAAAGCGTCATTAGCTCCCTGTTGAGTTCTTTTCTGCGAAAAATAAGCTTCTACCTGGACAAAATTGCTACCGATACGCATACGATGCTCAAGAAGTTCTTTGAGCCGCTCGTAGTTTCTTTCAAATGTTCTCATAGCATGTTGCTCTACTACTGTCATCTGTGACGTCTTTGACATTGCTGAGACGACGGATGCATCGCGATTCTGCAAAATTGCGTAACCATAAGTGGTTATGCTTCTATTCTAGACAGAAGACTTACAACGACTTCATCCGCAAATAATTTGTGCGCTTCAATAAAATCTACCGCTTCGTTCAAGGTCCCACCCATGTCGGCATGCGTGGCAAGGAAAGGTACGACACGCATATCCTGCCATGTTTGTAGGCTAGCTAGCTGAAATTAGGAAATTTGGAAATAAAAAATTTAAAAGTATGTTGACAACATTATAGTCATCTCAATTATGGATCAGACAGACTACTGAAAATGCTAATTCGAAAATGACAAATCGAGATAATGAATTATTAGTGAGGGATACGGTAGTTTGCGGTCCTCAGCCCGTATGCGAGTGATGATATGAAACTAACCAATTTCGCAAAGAATTTGATCTGTCTTTAGTATCTTGTCCAAAAAATAGTCACTAATTCTAAAAATTACTTCAAAATAGTCATGAAATTGCACTTCATTGTCTTCGGTTAAATTTTTTTACCAAGTGTAGTGCATATGCAGACAGTATATCGCAGAAGATCTTAACAGTTGTTCGCCCCAATCTTTTTCGTAAAGCTATTTATCAAGACACAAAAAAGTCAAAGATGGTCTATACGATCTCGATTCCCTAGGCTATGCAAAAAAGAGCGCAAACTTTCGAAGTTCCTTCGAGTTCTATCTCGACTGAAAATCTACTCTGTAGTTTATCCTTTTATGCATATTGCCTGGATATTGTTATCACGGGACTGTAGGTTATTTTTTCTTTCCGTTCTTTCCTCAAACCCTTATTGTTAGTTCTAAATGCTGTTATATCTAACCACTCCGATCAGATACATTTTCTGAGCCTAATAAAAGTTGTACGCACCTCTTGACTGACTTGCGTGCCTCTCTGGCGATCATTGGCAAGACTTTCAAGCATACGCAGTTGAACCTCCATTTCTCGACACCGTTGTTTCACCAGAGCGTGTTCTTCGTACGTAAGTACCTCCCTTGCTAAAAGTATAGTATTTCAATTATACGAATGAAAACAGCAATATAGAGCATGAAGAATGGATAGCAGATACAGATACGCATATTTAATGAGATAATTGAAATTGTGCCTATGATAATATGTGCGCCTATTCAACGTCGAAAAATTGATAGAAACTCTGAAGGTCTCAACACAAAGGCTACTGAAGGAGTATGGAGGAGTTCGGCTGTGAGACTAATCTTGAGGACGAGAGAGACCCATTCAGCTGGCTACATCTGGACTGCCATGGCTCAGGACAGCATGTCTGCCAGCACTGAGCCAGCACTATCCAATGGTAGCCGCCTCCGCCGTCGTTCAGAGTAGGATTTACTGCCGTTGGGTTTGTAAAGCAATTTCTGGTTGAAGGGCAGCACTACTAAATCTTCTTGTTTACCAAAAAAGGCAGATGCCATGCTTATGACTTTACCGCCATAAGGTCGCTGCTGTAATAATGTGGTTCAAAGAAAAATTGTTTTGATAGGAGGATTGAGTTCTGTCATGTAGTGGAATGGCACACGAATAAAATAGCGGCTTTAAAATTTGCTGAGGTATATTTCCTTCGACCTAGGATGACTTCTGTGAGTGTCAAAATGCCGTTCAAAATATAATCGTGGGTTACTGTATTGGTGTCATACTGTAGGCGCGATGGAATCACGGCAAACTACTCATAAGAAAGCCACTGATGACAAGAATTTTGAAAGCATGACGAAAAGATAGAAAAATGCTTCAGTAACATTTTATAATGGGCTTGAAGACCGGAATCGCTCACGGGAATCATGGCAACATGTTTTTTCTCAAGGTTTCAGAGGATTCTGTAAGGAAATAAAGAACAGCTCGTAGAGGATGACCTGCACCTCAGAAAATTTGGAGAGGGTACGCAACATATTAAAGATGTCTGCATTAGATTTTGATTCAGTTTGACTAATCTAATGTGATATTTGAATCAGGTTAAAAATGGAGAAGAGTCACAGTTTGCAGTAAGTGTTACGAGGGATGAGTGATTGTGCAGTACGAAAACAGAAGTGACTTGATAGCAAATGAGGTCGAAGGTCACCAAAGTTCAATCACAATTGACATGTCACCATTGTCACCGAGCAGCGAAAAGAAATGACCTGCTCATTGGAGAAGATTATGTGAAGTGCTAGTATATATAGCAGCAAAAGCGAATGGGAGGAAGTGGTTGTGCAGTGTCTGCACTAGTGGGGGCGCTGCTGCCCGAGGCGCATATGTGTCCAAAAAGAATCACTTTAAACTAACCGGCTATGTCACGACCCTCGTGGATGACTGTAGTGGCTTTCTGCTTTGCCAACGGGTAAAGTTCCCCGGCCATGGCTGCGTTGGCGTTTCGCATATCTGCTTCCATCATCGACAGTTGTGAAAGAGTCTGAATCATAGGTGCATAGTTAAGCTCATGCTAATCATGCTTGAAAAAATCTTGTTATTGAGAATTTCAAGACCATACAGTCAGTTTACATCTCCTTTCACTCCATGCAACCGGTGGCTCAAGTAAATTGCATCTGATAAGATTGCTAACAAGGAATGGCACTCAACTTAGAGTGTTTGAAAAAGAAAAAAGTTTCTGGAAATTTGATTTGGGAGCTGATTCCAAATATGCTGTCCATTGCCCACCAATCTGTTAATGGCGTTCTTCTTGCGAGATTTGCATGCTCATCGACTTACTGGTATTACGGTAAAGATAATCTAAGCGCTAATATACTCCCTTAAAATTTTTGTTACGACAAAAGATTCGGCTAATGTCACTTTGATATCTCAGCACATTTTCTGCAGATTTTTATAAACAGGCAATCTTTTCATCTTATATTTAAGTAAACCACTTGTTCATAGAAAAAGCTGATAACTTGCTTCATAATAACGCCGCAGCTAAACATAGCTGTATGAAGCCAGCGTTTTAAACTAACTCAAGTCATGTAGGTCTCTTCTTCAGGTTTTTCCTGTGATTTATTCTAGGATAGTCATTACTTAGATTAAGATATAAGCTTCAATGACCAAATGTAACGAACGTTATACTGTCAAAGGCATCTAGGGGAATTTGTCCTACATGACTTCTTGCGTAGATCTATGCATCTGAATGTTCCAGACGGCTGCCTTATAAGCTCGACCTAGATTATCCCTTAAACCGTACTCCGTCCGAAAAGACCAGATCGGGTTCCGGTGGGAAATACGGTTTGGGCCGGAGTTTGAAGTTGAGTTTCTCGGTCATGCATGCATATGACATGCGGCTTGGGTCGTACATTGACACTACGGAAGCTAACTACAAGCTAGGGCAAGCGATTGTTTGCGTTCGGGGACAAGTCCAGTTCAAACTTGGTATACTGTAGCTCCATTCGATATCTAAACTTTCTCACAATCTGCTTTACTAGTATGCTTTTTGCCTAATCTAATACTTTGTTGTTGAGTCAGAGCTTGACTTTCCCTGCATCATTATGCAGTAATCTTTTTGAATTTTGCCTGACCTGCTTTGAGTCATCCTGTCTCGAAAACTTCAGGGAGGATGTGTACAGGGGCAAGAAAGTGAGCGTTGTTCATCACCGCCCACGGGGACAGCACTCTCGTAAAATCATCCAAACGAAAAAGTAAACGACCGCGATTCCTCGAACGTCGTGGATGTAAAGTTTTCATTCTGTTTGCTTCTCGAAAGGTACGCAGTCATTGTAATAAAATATAGGATGATTTTATGCAAATCACTGCAGCGCGAATTCTCTCCCTTTACTGTTCTCGATTCATTTATGAGGCTTCTCCGAAAAATTTTTCTCCAACAATAGTCATCAAAATCTCCCTATGCAGCTCCAATTAACATTCATCCCAAACAATTACCCGTCTTCTGCAGCATTCCAGATCGGGAAGCTCAAATGCAGCAAAGGAGGGTGGATTACTCAGAATCGAACAAATGTGTCTGTCTACAAGTGCTGGCGGATGGCTTGTTTAAACCAGAATCGATAATTTTTTCGCACCTCATGAACCCCCACAATCCGACAAAACTACTCATAGCAGAAAAATGAAGCAAAGCTTTACACTAGCTGATGCCCTCTCGATGCAGCTCTCAGAGCTCACAAAATGGGGTTATGACTATCTGAACTACCAAACAGAGGATTTCATATAATTCACTTGGATTAGCGAATTTGCATTTATCAGCGGCTGACTACCCACAGCAGCAGCGAACAGTTACAAACTAAGAAATTCACTGATTTCTTTGGAAGGAATCATTCTCAGGTGACAAATGTGCAGATCAGAAATTTTTTTGGCGCGTACTTTGGTATGCAAAATTTGAACCATGCCTATTGAGCATTACAGTCGTGCTATGATCTACAATAATAGCAAAATATTTAATGTACATTGCAAACAAAAAGAGTTGCTCTTGCTTAAACCTTATCTAATTTATGCAACATAATTTGCGATGTTAATGTGCAAAAGATCACAACAGTATAGATTGCAAAAATTATTAATTTACGAACACTTATAATGCCATGCATAGCTTGACTGTGCCATACCGTACTCCGGATTTGTTCTGTATAAGACACTGTGCGCTTGTGGTTTGAGAAAAATACGTTTACAGAAATTTTTGCCACCTTTGATGGAAACCAGCACCCATGCAGAATTGTGCAGAATTCATCATAGGCAGAAAGCGGACTACTGACTTATTTAGCGGTTGGATCAAATTTTTTGGCAAAATCTCTAACAATCGTTGAAAGCAGTGTCAAGAATCGTACTTGTATTACGTTTTGATGATTGAGAGGTCGTTCGCTAAGCCAAAGCTTATTGTGTTGACCGCTGCCGAAAAATCATGCAAATACCATTCGGTACCGTACCAATAAACGCTGATTGGTCGACTGGAAAGAGAACATTTCAAGCGAAGAATTATACCGCAGTTCTTGGCCGTCATGTCTTCCCAATCAGTTTCCTCAAATGGTTCATGTACCTCAGATACCCAAGCGTACCGTGCAAAGCACTCCCACTTTTGGGGTAACGAAAGAAATTTGAGCTAGTCAAACATTTGCAAAAGCTCAGCTAACAACAGAAAGCAAGCCTTACAAAAAGAGAATTGTACAGATTTTGAAAAGTTACGAAAACTATTATCAGATCGCTGGATCACAGAGTGAACAGTAGCAATGCTTCACAAAGGACGAATTGCTTACAGAACTCAAAGTTTGCTTGGTTATTACAAACAAAGTAGAGACTATGTAACTACACTTACGATTGAATTCATCAGCACCTCCGAAGGAAAAAGTGCCGATGAATTCAATCGTAGTCAAAGAATGCTCTTGCTCAATGTCAGCAGCAGGACTGCGCATGCGGTAGGGAAGATATATGACAAGTCTTTTGCGCAAAATTAGTGGTGAGTGGTTATATCAGTGGATTCCATGTGGTTTTGATTTTACAAAGAGAACATTTCCAAATTTTCTACTCTAACAGCTTCCTCATGGTGGTAGCAGTTTGCTAGGAATTGCAAAATGCAAAGATTGTTTTTGCCATTTTTAGTCATGATTTGCAGCGCTTGATAGAGGGAAGGAGAAGGATGTCACCCCTAGACTGGCCCATGAAAACGACTTTTTTCGGAACAGTGACTCATTGCACATCTGACTCGCTGTCCCAGAAGCCTCAGGGGTGTAAAGTTTCAAAGTGAGCAGGATGGAATCACTTCACCTAATATTTCGTCCCAGCGATGACCGCTTCCAGTTTTGCCCCACAAGTCAATGATCCAAAGCTAATCATTTTGAAACCTTTTCATGCCAATCTTCTCATAATTATTAGGGTGCCTCAAAAGTATGCCTTGCTTTGTTCAAATAAATTGAGCCGTTTTTGTTTTCTTAACAAACTTGGCCCATCCGATAGAGCGGAGCTAGCTCTACAAGATGACCGCTAATGATTGATAAAAGAACTATAAATTGAAGTTTTTGACTGCCTAAAAATCGGATCTCCTCTAAAAAACCTCTACGGTCCCCAACTTGGCCATCATACACTAGATATATAATAGTTATCGAATTGCTATTGGATTTGCTGGATTTGTTTGCGCGTATAAAAATTGAGAGAGAAAGGAACTCCAAAAATGACAACTTCAGGTTCAGATCCCATATCCCATCACAGCGGTTATATACTACGTACCGCAGTTTTGCCCTGGTATCGAGAAATACCAAGTTGACACCAATCCCAAAAAATGACATTCTCGCATTTTTGCGCTACTTTTGCTTCCCCATTTTGGACCTCGAAAAAAAAACCTAGCACTTGCATTTTTGGTTACAATCACTATGGTTTGCAGTATGATGACCAAGTTAAAGGTATAAGAATTCTCTGGAAGGAGATGTTTTGGGAGTAATCGAAAATTTCAGTTTTTCGCTTTAAAGTTTACGGATCATGACTTGATGGATCCTCGATGGTCATTTTTTAGAGCTTGCTTTGCTCTATAGAATGGTATTCTGAAAGGCCGGGCGGGCGTACATCACGCGATTTCGTTGCGATTTCTATTCGTCGCGATTTGCCGGAAGTAGCGACGAAATCGAGGCGGTAAAGTCGCTAATCGCTCTACCTGGGCATACTTCTCCCTCAAATGAATGCATTCGAACACTGTGTTCTGCGTTCGCGGACGCAACTCAGCCTATGAGGCTCACTGGACAAGCTGATCGACGGTGATTTGCACAAGAACCGTTTTTATAGGTTACGGTGGGTTACGCTAATCAAGTCCCTGCGGCTGTTGAAACGTAATTTAGTTCGATACTCCTTCTTTCTCTTCTATCAAGGTCTGATACCGACTTGAGGTGCATCCTCATAACTTGCCTCAGACGTCTACAAAATCCACACAAAAACCTTACTGGTATCACTTTGCCTTAATATCACTCGGTTCACCCCTCCCTCTCCGCTCCCCGAAAAATGAAAGTTTGCACTTCAGTTACCTTGTACCTACCGTAACTTTTACGAAACGGCCTTACAGCATAGATTGACTGCAATATCGTGAACAGCCCAAAGTTCAATTTGTTGAAGGGGATATATCACTGCAGTGATGTGCCGTTCCTCTCAATATCGCACTAGATGTGCCGTTCCTCCTAATCTCGCAAAGATAATTTTTTGAGCAGGTTTGTGCCTTTGAAATTTTTGTGGCTCCCGCGCTGAAAAAAACGTCAAAGATTGTGATGTTGCAGATATTGATTAGTTTCTGAACATCTCTGCAAGTAAACATTCTAAATCAACAAAAAATACTTTCAACAAATCTTTCGGGAAAGAAGTTCAATCTCAGCGATATAATCGCCTCGCGAAGTCAGAGACGCGATATCGCTGAATCGGTCAAATCGCGACGATTTCGATGAGGAAAGTTTGCCCTAGGAAAAACCAGTCAGCGGTACATTTCATTTGTATGTATTTTTTCACATATTTTTATTTTTTTATTTCATTCTTTCTCCATTTCATTTTTTTTGTCAACAATCGAAACTTCAAGATTGGATTGGTAGATAGATTTTTTGGCTTATGTACGTTTCGTTTCGTTTCTCCGCCTTCTTCAGAGCCTGGAAACGTCGACATTTACAATCTATCCTCCCAAATGCTTCGTTTTCACCACATCGGTACAACTCAACAGCCAACAGAGCCAAAACAAACAAACGAGAAAACGCTAATAGGGTTAGCGCTCACCTTATAGCCTTGCGGATGAGAGAAAGCGACCACCAAGCAAAGCTGCGCCGCTACTGATGAGTTAGTGATATGTTAATCACTCCCCCGCGCTTGACCCGACCCCTATCCGTAGATCAAAATCCACAAAGGGTCCGGAAGGGTGCAAGCTCGTTTGTGATGGCAATCCATTCTTCTTTTCTAATCATTTTTGGATTTCGAGAGCAGATCCACGACCCCTCAAGTGTCTTGCGTGCTATAGTTTGGGGCTCGTGCGATAATTTCATGACAGAGCCTGCTGTGAGCACTCAGGAGGGTTGATGATCTACCTTTTGCGAGTCCTTTCAAATGTTCCTTGGTCCGGATGCACAGAGTTCGACCTGTTTCGTCTACATACTCTTCACCACATGACTGACATGTGATCAAATAGATTACGCCCGCGATTGGGAGAATGAATGTGAATGTCTTTTTCCAGGCTTTGAAGAAGGCGGAGAAGCCGAAACGTACGTAAGCCAATGAATCTATCTACCAGTCTTGGTCTACGCTACATCAGCTGATAGAAGATTACACAGTCATGCTAAGATTCAAGGAAGGCCGGACCTGGGATTGAATCAAAACTTCGAGAGTCCAAACCGGAAAATCAATCAAGTTCTTGGCAATTAGGCCTCAGTCACATCTGAAGCAACTTCGCAAGTGACAAGCGCGGATTTCAGATGGATATGTGCTTAGCTTTTGCAAGCTGATGCAAACATGCTAAGTCTCAATTATATAAATATGACTGCAAGAATTTGTGAGCGTAGTAGCGATAAATCGCACAGCGACCGAAATTGCATGAGTTACACACATGCTACAGTTACAGTTACAGTTTCAGTTACACACGCTTTAGGCTATTAGCGTTATCCTAATTGAAGTTGCGCCAACCGGTAAAAATACGAAACTAGTCATGATTTGTCAAAAATGACACCAAGTTCCAGCGGAGTTCCGCGTCCCATCCTCATATCTTGGTTCACAGTAGATAAATACTAGGATTTCCTGATTAATAGAAGTGCCGGTTTGATAAATAAGCGATGAAATTTTATAGATTTTCGTCAATAGTAGGTTACTCAGTCAATAAATAAGCACACTCAGTTGATACCTCAAATAAAAATTTGAAAGAATACACAAAATCAGGCTGCCCAATGTAATGTGCGCTTACTGTATTGAGACTACCATATTTTATCAGAAGATGGGTCTCGCCGAGCTGAGTCGAAGGGGCTTTTGAGCTTCAACTCCATCTACGTTATGGCGATGCGACGCGGATTTCAGTGAACTCCGTTGGAGTTCGGTGACTTTTTTTTTACAAATTAAGAGCAACAAATAATTGCCATAATTTGTTAAAGTACTGATCCATGACAAGCAAAAATCGCGTTTGTTGTCGGCGATTTTAGCAAAATTCATAAAATGCCCCTCTCAGCAACAAATTAAAATGGTAAAATTATGATCTGGAAGATTCTGGCTGGCACACAAACTTCTAGAAGTTAACCCCCGACTGTTTTAAAAAGCTCCAAGGTTCCTACAGTTTCCGCAGCTAGAGAAAGCAGATGTGAGTTGGACAATGTTATTCATTCTCTCAATATTTCGCGTTCAACTTCTGGATCTTCTTCTGTTTGAGGATATACAGCACAATACAGTTAAAAATATTAAGGATCAACTCTTCACTGCAAAAATGTGCCGTTCCCCTAAACCTCGCACTTTTGAGCCGCATTTTGTCGAGAACTAGTTTGATAGTTTTAGATCTTCTTCAGTATTGGATTATGGCATGGACTTCGGAATGTGCTATTCAAAATATTATGCAAAATTACCTCAGTTTACGAGATAAGTTTGACTCACGTACATTTCAATCATGTCGCATTATTTTCATTTCATATATTTGATCTGTTTTTATGGCCGCTCATGCAAGTAATCGTACAAAAAGCAGGCACTGCACTCACAAATTTTATAAAAGCATAAAACAACCATGCACTGTTTAGTAATCTCACGGACAGCAGCAGACAATTATTAACAAGCAGAAAATCAAGTGAACTAATGTTAACAGATGACAAGTTCGGGTATCACAGGTCTGAGAGAACTACAAATATCAAAATCAATATCTATAAATGCACAAATTCCGTGGTTAGCAGCAAAAATAGATGGATGTCAAGAGACGCCTAGAATAATTGATGTTTGGAGAATATGAATCGAAAGCAAAGCAGTCAAAGCTACTCGTTATAAATCACTGGCAGTGAATAGACAGAAATTCAAAAGCAAAGGAAACTATTGAGCTAATACGACCTATTCATTTACCACTTTCTACATCTACATTTGGGCAGCCCGAAACCGGTAGTATGCCAACGAAGATTGGTACCAGTACTACAGTAAAGTCCTAAGAGTTCTTAGCTAAAAACATGGCCCTAAGCTGCTCTATTGAATATCAGCATTATTCACATTTCAAGAGCCCTACAACCATTTAAGCAGGAATGGCATGGACATTCGAGGATTTGGAATAAAGTCCTAGAATTGTCCTCTTACCACTTTATAGCTCCTAATCGTACATTCAAGCGGCGGATTTGGACTACATAATCATTGTAGATGATATTGGCGATGGAATTCAAAGGAACACTCTCAACCAGGGCACGGCATGGGTGGCCTACCAAGCAAGCTGGATATCGTTTTTGGGAGAAAAGGCAAAGGGGATATCATTTCTGCGGAAGAGCATACCGCTGTCTACGGGGTCCGCGTGCCGCCGGGATGCTGCCGGCATGCTGGCGGCATGCTCTCTCAAACAAACAAGGATCTTGTTTACAGCGAAGTGAAAATGAAATGACACCAAAATTGGTGTGTAGATGGGCAATGAGGAGCTAGGACTATGTCTGAAAACTCATGAAAAAATTATGTGAACTGAAGGCGTGGCAAACTTTTTTGGAGTTAGGTGGCTTTCAACATCTGGAAGCCACCTGAGATGGCTTGGGAAAGAAAAAGTCATAAAATTTTCCTCCCTCGCATAATTTTTTCTACCTTCTTTACGTATATCTCACCCTACCACTCGAACCCTACAAATTGGTTTGGTTCCTAAACCGCCTCAGACTCCTTCCTCTCCGTTTAGTTACAGCCCTCTGAAAATTTTGAATGGCGGCGGCAACGCTGCTCCGGGCGCGTCTGCTGCACGCTGGATACATTATGGCGCCAATCCGGAAAATAGGAATATGATCGCGTTTGTTTAATGCTTCTTTGGCTCCTTCTGCTTTGTTTTGTTGCTTTTCATGTGTTTTCTCTCCTAATATTTCATGGCGGATGTGGCACTTTCATAGTGAAGTCAAAGGGTGCTTCGTTTTTCGCAATTCTAGGAAGCCACCTCGTGTCGAGCCCTGCTCTCAACTTAACAGTCGTCCTGCATTTTTTCATCCCCTTCCACCTCACCTCTATATCTTTCCTCCCTCCACCCTCCCCCCGCGTTTTTGAAACCATTAGTTCTGTTGTGAACAGAAAAGTTTGGACATAGAAAAAACGTATTCAGCTTGTTGTAGGCGCGATACTGCAGGCAAAGTGGAGCAATGAAGAATAGCTCATGTAGATTGATAAGAGATGAAGAGATGTAAGGGATGTTAGAGATGTAATGAAGTGTAGAGCTTCAAAACAGCTAAGATAAGAATTACAAGTTGTTTCTAGGGTGATCGATAGTATTTTTTGATGACGTAGCTTAGGTTTTAGTAATAATGCTGCGTCTTCAGCAGCTTCGAAGTGTTACTGAAACCTCATTTTTGAGAAAGCTCGATCTGCTCCGCTGAGGCCAAGTGAGCTACAGCAGAAAAAAAGTACAGATTTTTGATGAGGAGGAATAGATTTTGAACGAATACAACTCGAGTAAATCAAGCACGAAAATTAAACTTATACGGGTGATAATAATAACACAAAAAAGGGTTAGTTAGTCACACAGCAACAGACTGACTTAAGCATTCAAAAATCACGAAACCACAGCTCCATGCGCCAACTGAGGCAAATAACGATAGAGAAAATAACGATGATGAGGGTGCTAACCGATTGTGCCGACTGGAAGAACGCCTGAATTCGTTTTGAGCGGTTCATTCTGGTCTTGACGTAGTGCAGGAATTCCTCAATTCTGCCGTTCAGATGTGCGACTCTAGAGCCGTCGGCTGCACCACTGGCACCCAACTCGAGCAGACGAGCTTTGTGCGCCTGTCAAGTGTGCGTGTTGTTCTTGTGACGAGAAAAAGGAAAACGAGAAAAAAAACTATGCATAAGTTGCGGCAATTGACTCGCGCTGACATAGGGCATACTGAGAAACTCACATCTCCTTCTTCCAGTAGGCGCTTAAAACCAAGCTCATTGACTGCTTTGACTCGTCGTTCTGCAAGTGACAGCCATTCTTCGATCTCCTGGAAACATACCCCCATTAGGTAATGTAGATTCAGGTCGCCTCAAAAAAGGAGTGTTGCTATAATTTTATTTCTTCTTCTTCTTTGTCTCCGTTAGAATATCGCAATAGCTATTCAGCCAGCACGAGCACGAAAAGCACACCCTCCCTCAGACTCGCAGACCTCTCAATGTGGCTAGTCCACTGACGAATGAACTTTGCAATTTTTCCATTTTTTCAAAAAACTTTGAGTTAGTCGAATCGTATCATGATTCCATTCCGAAGCGTGATGATCTTTCAAACATGGACTTGGAAATTGGACAATCAAAATTGGAAAAAAAATTGGACAAATTGGACAATCCATCATTGAAGGGTCAAACTAACTACAAATTTTATCTTTGGGTTCTTATTCTTATTCTTTATTTCAGCAATATATCAGTTAATCACCTGGACCCACTTTTTTTAGTATAGATTAATTTCCTCCATTTTCTGTAGTCTCCCCAGAATTTGTTCTTTCAAAAGCAACTGCCGGGACGAACCAGCTCAGAATCAATAAAAGTTTTTGGGTATAAGCTTTTCAATCTTCTTATACGTTTGTTATCTCTTGCATAAAGCGCATGTATGAAGTGAAGTGAAATTTATGGTTTACGTTTCAAGGTTTGAGAACGTGACTATAGAAGAGAGCTCAGATATGCTTTAAAAGATAATTTACCAATAGGTTTGAAAGGAGAAATGAGCATTTGTATCATGCCTGACTGTGAGTCCGCAGCATTTTTTCTTAAAATTGGGATTTTGACGCATACGAGTGTATTCGGGTTCATATCAAGTAGATGGTGGCATGAGAATGCTGGGAGCCGTTCTTGCAGCTTGCTTGGCTTTAGACAGTAACAGTCTACTTAAAAACAGTGAGAATGCATTTTGGCTATTTTTTCGCTGAACGAATCTGATAGACTACGTATCTAAAACGCAATGTTTCCGAAATAATTGTAATTAGAAACAGTTCCAGAAGCAATAGTTCGATGTTAGGCTGCTGCTTTTTGGATTCCTTTCCGAACAACCCAAATCACTTTTTTGTCCAGCTCAATTATGATAAGCTCATCCAATTTGCTAATGTCAAAATACTAATGCAAGTTCCTATGCCTTTTCTCATCGCGTAGGGAATTCAAGGTGATGCTTCATTGCAGATAAAAATGAAGAAATTGAAGAGTTTTGAAAAATATATCTCACTCCATCTAACGAGTGCCATCAGCTGTTGCAAAGCACGATTGTATTAGGTTGTCAAGAAAATAATGTCGTTTTTCATAGCAAAGCCATAAGACAAATCCAAAAAACCATGGGAGGGGTACCATTCGATAGAGCAAAGGAAGCTCTACAAGATGACATCCGAACATTGGCAGAACTTGTTATCTACGCAAAGTTCAGAGCCAAAACATACGAGCAAGTCGTGATGCCAAAAACTGGATTTTCGCCTAGTAAACCCTGCAAACCTCTCACTTGCTCCTGCTTGTAAAGGACACATGCGCTTATCCATAGGTACACTTGCTATATTTTTTCCATGCTTAGAAACCAAGAAAAAATTAAAAAATGGAAAATGGCAGACTCCGCCCCCAGTAGTACTGGGCCCCTCCCACATATGCCTTTGTATACAACAAAGCTTCGTAACTTTAACCATAAATTTTCGGCCTTGGATAAGCTCTATTTCTCGAGTAATATCAACTTTACACGAAAAAACCCGAAAAAAACGACATTATGTTCTTGACAACCTAATACATTGCATATCATGATGAATCACAAATTTTATCGCTAACACGACATTTACAAAAAGAAGTGTTCTGATAAAAAGTTCTCAGCAATTTTTACACAATACCTTACACGCTCTTTTGATGCATAGAATCGCTTCGTTTCGTTTTTCTTGACAGTAGGTTCTACTTTTTCCACACATGTTTGAAAGAAGAGGGCACTCACCTCCATTTCGTCGATTTTTTCAGCTGGAATAACTTTGGACTTTTCATTCTTCCACGTTGTTTCTACTCCCTCCCATTCCGAGGCAATCCTGTAATTCTTTCAATAAGTATCTTAATTTTCTACGCCTCTTTTTGTCTATTTAGACATAAGACTGGCAGAAGTGAGAATTGAATGGGTTCTCCATCCTACACAATGAGGTTTCAGTCTAAGTGGACAAGACCGAATTCTTCGAAACTTACTTACTTTTAAAGAGAGAAAAAGGATGTTTTGATTGATACTGTACGAAGGATATTACAGAACAATTGTATTAATCTTGACAGAAATCCAAGCAACTTCGCGGCACCGAAAGAGTTCACCAGCTGTTCACACGATTCACTCATATCTGAGAATTTAAGGGTCAAAACGACAATGGTTTTACGAGGTTACGCATGACAAGATTCATTGCGACTTTTTGAGGAGATATTATTAGGTTAATGCATAATTCTTGCACCAAAAATACTAAAAAAACCGTTTGAAAATGCTCAAACAAACTAATCGATTGTTACAATATGCTTTTTTTCTGTATGTCAAAAATACGCATTTACAAAACATTTTAGATACCAATATGAAACAATATCAAACGGTAGATAAAGAATCTCGAATTATATACATATATATTTATAGAGACATCCGCACAATCCTCTTTTATAATTAGACTAGTGGACCAGATCTAAAGGTGCTACTGGAAGAGCGTTCGCTTCGGGAACCGCCGCGGTTTCCCGCTTTTGGAAGCTTTTTGAATTGAACGATAACGCAGATGAAAAGCTTGGTCATAAAACCAAGAGCAAGAATAACATTAGGTTACAATAGAATCTTAAGCAACTGTAGCCATCGAAGTCTGGAAAAACACTTTATGAGTGTTTTACTCAATCATCTCGTATTCTTGGCTTATCCAACAAAGAATTTTGAATCAATTACTTTTGGAAAGCACATTCCTTTCTCTATTATGTATCGAGTAAGTTACTTTACTAAATTCGAGAAGATTACAAAATTTTGTGCAAAAGTTATGCATCGATCTAAAACTAGAAGAAAAATCCAAGAGTACGGCCAGCTCAAAAATGAGCAAATTTTCTGAAGAACACTGAAAAAACGGTGAGGATTTCCAGCGCTCTCTTACAAGATGTTTCCAAAAGAAGGCAATCTGAGAAGATCCGGAGAGATGAGAATTGTAGAATACTAACAGTAACGGCCCCCAGAAAAGCAGGAATTATAAGTGCACTTTGCTCAATTATGGGAGAAAGTTGAAGGGATTCGAAAGAAAAGTAAAAAAGTGAAAATGAGCTTTTTCGAAAGCGCTTCTTCTTAGAAATTCAAGGGCAGAAAAAGGCATGTTGCAGCATTGAAAGTGGATGAGGAAGCTTCCGGGCAAACCGGCGATCTGCGACTTTCTGTCTCCCTTAAGACCGACTCTCGTGCCGAACCAGAATGAGCTTATAGTCATATAGTTCAAGGGCGCTTCTTCACTACGGCGAAATTCTGTGAAGGGGAGAGGCGAATTGCATCCGAACGATCATGAAGGATTGAGGTGGCAATGATCGTACCTAACCAAAATAGGACATAGCTAATAAAATCATGGAGGAAGGAGAACTGCACGCACATGGAATTAAGAGAGGTGACAGGTGAGATATGTTGATAAAGGGGTTCAAGAAGAGAATTGCAAGAACACTTTAGTCCGAACTCAAAAAGATTCCTGAGCACCGGCTTTTGGTTAGCAAAATACAAACTATTGATGAAAATGTTAGATTATTCGGAAAATAATGCGCATCTTGTTTTATCATGCATTATCGCGGAGGTTGAGCGTGAAGGTAAGTGGAGTAGCGTCGGATAAATCAGAGCAAGCTCTACAAAATGAAGCTCGAATCTTCGCGTCAAGTTTGACTTGCGTGAAGTTTGGAACCAAATTTCATAAGGCACTAAAGATCTAAAGAAACGAAAAAAATCGTGCCCGTTCAGAAAATTCCTGGGAACTCCTATCTGCTCACGCATGAACTCACTATACCAGGCGCTCGTATGCACATTTATTGAAAAAACGAAATTTGGCAAATTTTTGCAAAAGCGATCCTGAGCTTCTCTCAAATAGGTGATTCCATGGTATGAAGCTTTCAGAGAAAACCATGTTTTCAGCTTTAAACCAACCTACTTTTCGAGAAAAATCAAATTTTTTGCAAAAAAAATCGAAAAACGCAACATGTTACTTTTGACCTTTTTTTCACGTGTTCTAGCCAAGGGAAAATTCCACAAATTGTACAAGTGAATGTTTGATGTAAAGAGTACATGCCTGTGCCTGGAGAACCCTATGACGTCTATGAACGAAGATACGATTTTCAGATATCTGAGCTTTTTTATATTGTGGATTCGAACTCTACGTGCAGCAAGATTTCAGCGGAGGTTTGTGAACTATATGATAGGGTCTGCTTTGCTCTATCACGCGATACCCATTCGCTATTTTCTGTGTCACTCTGTCGCGGTAGGATGCTATGCGACACTATTTTCCGGGCAACCTATATTTCTGGACCAGAAACTAGGGCTTCGGACTTGTCAGCATAATGCATGGAGATTTGATGGCTTTCTGTCAAAACAGATTCAAAAAAGTCGGAGCAGAGAGGGCAAGTTTGGGGAATCAGAAAAACTTCTGAAATCTATGCGCATTGAGCATTCAACTTGAATTTAGATGAACTGGATCACTGGTTGCCTTAAGGCGTCTTTGAGCTGCTATCCTAAACTGCGTGTTTACTGATGGATGATCCTGGTGCTTGGGATACTTTGTACGACTTTCCAGGATTTCAATCGGAAAGGCAAGCTTTTAGATAGCATCATGAACATGAAATGCAAATCAGTTTTATAGCTCAACAAGAAACATGCTGATGTAGGTTCGTATTCACAAATGTTTTTGACGTTGCAAGGGTTGTATCACGTTACACAATGAGTGAGGATCGTTTGCACGAGCGAATATCTCGATGAAAACTTTTCTGTAGGCAGTGGGCTACTAGCATAGTTTCGAAACGAGTGACCTATCAGAGATCTTTATTGAATGAAGGAAGGAATGAACTTCACCAATAGCAAAGCAGAGGACATGTGCTTTACACAAATCTGTACAGTAGTGACTAGCAGAGGTACAATACCACCAAATAAGTAAAGATCTTGCTAAGACTTCCGACCTGCAGATATAAATGAAATGACCCACCTCAACATAACTTTTTCGATGAGTACGCATGCATTCAGTGTTTCCTGTGGTCGTCCAGGGTCATCACTAAGTTGACCAAGGGTTCGTATCTGAGCTATTACCGATGAACCAGAGTCCACTGCTTGAGCTGTGGTCTCAATGAGTTCTGAAACTGAGTCATCTGCAAAGTTCTTGCTCAAAGTCTCGAAATTTACCATTTACGGTACTCTCAATCTTCTTCGCGGCTGCTGGGCTGTCTTCACCGCTTTCACCAGCCATTAATCGTTTGAGAGCATCTGTTACTGTATTGACTAGCTGAAAGAAAATAAGAAGCATACTTGAATCGGTGTTTAAGAAACCGTTAGTTCAGTTTTTTCGTTGATTCATAGCTTCTACCTGTTCATGGCGTTCTGCCAACTGATAGAAGTGTAACGTTTCCCTGAGAAGGTAGCCTCGTAATATTAGTTGTTTGTTTAGCCCTTGCCACGCCTTAATTGAGATTATTTTAATGGAAGAAAATTTTCAGAATAGTGATTTACCTCTCTCAAGCATTTTGCCATATCGTCATAGACTATTGCTTCATTAGCTTGTTTCTCCGAGCTCAAACCTTCCGCTCGCGTTAGCACGGCAGTCACTTGTTCTTCTTTGTCCTGAAATGATCTTTGTAAAGGTTTACTCGTTAAGCTGCTAGAGAATGAGAATGGGGCATATTGAGATGATTTTCTGATATCTGAAGTGATTTTACCCACTTCGTATGCTTCTTTGACCACGCCAACGCTATTTTATAATGGCATTTTCCAGATCCTCGTATACATTTTTGAGGAAACAGTATTGGAATAAAGCGGCTCTGGGGCATTGATTGAGCGTAACTTGGATGGAAGGGTTCGTTCGAGTCAGTTCTATATCACCTATTATACCTATATCGAAACATGAGGAAAATATCTGGAAACGTCAAACCTGTCGAGCTTGACTTTTGCTACTAATTTTACGGGTATCTTAACAACCTTCTGGATCCAAAATCCATGCAGAATGGGCAATCCTAAAGTCGTGGAGCTAAGACGCTGCGCCCGCTCTAAGCGGCACAGACACCAGCTTTGTAAGCACACACATACTACGAATTCAAACAAGTTAGATCAAAATTGCATGTAAAAAATTCCTAACTTGCTGCAGAGTGCAAGCAACATTTTCAGGAGAGTGCTGTTAGAGGTACAGCTACCTTTGAGAAACATCTTTTTTACATTTCTTGAAATCGATTTAAGCGAAAAAAAGAGGAAGCTTTTGAGCCTTTGTTTTGCCAATAAATCACGTGAGATGATTCGGATATCATACGAGGAAAAACCTTACCTTGAGTCGTGCCATGAGATCATCGTGAATTTGAAGTAAAGCAGCTGCTTCTTCACCAGATCCTCCAATGGCAAGGAGACCTGGTTTCATTTCGTCAATTCGTAATTGTATATATCCAACAGACTAAAAGGTAATATAAAACTACGTAAAATTCTGAAAAAGTTCTGACTACTATTTATCTAATTAGTTTCTATTTGAGGATATTTCTGAAAAATGATATTGGTGATTTGCATTGAGTTCATTCATCATCTAGACGAGACGAAACAGCAGTTATAATCACACCTAGCTTTTTCAATAGTATTAGGTTGTCTCATAAATTTTTTTTCAATTTAAAATTTTTAGCGCAATAAGTCACAGACTTCTCAATAATAATTAGAATGCAGGGAAACATTCGATAGAGCAAAGCAAGCTCTACAAGTTGGCATGTAAGTGTTCACACCAGCTGCATCACATCACGAGTTAGAAGCTGAAATCTGAGAACTTTCGGATGCCTAAAAAAATTGAAAATTTTTATGTCTTTGTCCAAAGAAAACTTAACGGATCCTAAACTCGCTCACGCATACACACTCCACATGGTACATTCATATACGCCGTTGCTGTGTTTGTTTCTGTGCTATAAACCGAGAAAACTAAAATTTTCAAGCTTTCAAAAAAAAGCGATGCTGCGCTGTTTCACATAGGTAAATTACACTACAAGCCTTTAGCAGTAAAGTCACAGATTTTCAGCTCTCTATAAGCATAGGTCCCCGAAAAATATTGATTCCAACACGAAATACTTTGGCAAAAGAAGCTAAATTCTGTGTTTCTCAAGAACTAGCGCTTCCCGGAAGCTGAAAATTTATCGTTGTATTTCCAAGGGGAGTGTAATGTACAATTATCTGTGTGATCGCTTTTCGGAAGCTTGAAAATTCAAGCTTTCTCCGTTGCCAGCACAGAAACAAACACAGCAACGGCGTATATGAATGTACCATGTGGAGTGTATATGCGTGAGCGAGTCTGAGATCTGGTAATTTTTCTTTGGACAGTGATATAGAAAAATTTCAATTTTTTGGATGTCCGAGAGTTCTCAGATTTCGGCTTCTAACTCGTGATGTGCTGAAGCTGGTGCGAACACTTATATGCGTCTTGTAGAGCTTGCTCTCTTGTATCGAATGGTACCCTGCATTCTAATCACTACTGTAGTCTGTGACTTATTGCGGTAAAAGTCAAAATTGAAAAAAAACTTATAAGACAACCTAATACTAGATAAGAAGACACTTGATTGAATTGAGCAACAGCAATAAGATCGGCAACTAATGGCAAAGTGAAAAGAGTACATTGGTTTGAGGAGATTGCTGAAAAAAATTATTTTTAAAAGAACTAACTCCCTAACTCCGTATCAATAACTTCAAAGTCCTGACACAGAACTGAAAGTGGAATAGTAAGGAGAAGTGTGCCAAAAGTTCTTTCCGTTTTTTATGCTCTCAGTCGTTTGTGAGCTTTCTCTTCTATATATACCGTACTACATACTCACCTTCAATAATGCAACAACTATGGAAGCGTGCGGTCCTGCCCGAACAGCGATCGTTGAAAGTGTGGTCGTAGTGACTTCTCCTTCTTCTTCTCGAGCATGACCATTTGGTCGTGCATCGCCATTTATTTGCACAGAATTTGTCTAAAAACACTAAATTATGAGATTGTCCTATAAGTTTCGTCCGTTTTCAATAAGTCCCGTATTCTAAGAATATCAAAAATGCTTTGGGATGTGTAAGGAGCAAACCAAGCTCTGCAAATTGATGCCCAAACATTTACACAGAGTTCTTTCTACGCTGATTTGAAAATCGAAATAAAACTTTCGGGAATCCGAAACCTAGAAATTTTTTTTAGATTTTGCTTGAAAAGTTCAAGGAAAGCTCTAACTTATCCACGCAAATACACCCCTCATCTAACATTCGCATGCACACTTGCCGTATTTCTTCCATCGCTAAAAATAAGAAAACGAAATTTGGCAAGTTTTTTTCAGAGCTGAGCTGCTCGCATATAGGTGGTCGTATAGCTTAAGTCTTTGAAAGTATAACCACAAGTAGCCTTCTACGAGCGATGATTTTCGAGCAATTTCAAAGATTAGTGTAGAAAAACTCGAAAAAGCGACATTTCTTTATTTTCGGCTTATTTCTGTTTCTCAATTCCTAGCACTGGAACAGCAAGTGTGCATAAGAATATTAGATGAAGAGTGATTATACCTACGTGAACAAGTTAGAGGTTCCTGGAAATATTCTAAGTAGAGCTCTGAATTATTCTATTTTGGGCTTGCGAAAGTTTTAGATTTTGATTTTTAACTCGAGGTGTGGAACTAACTCTGTGCGAAAGCTTAGAAACCATTTTGTAGAGCTCGCTTTGCTCTATTGAAAACTATCCTAGAGCTTTTTAGGAGTCGAAAAATGGGAATTATAGGGGTAAATGCTGAAAACGGTCGGAACTTATGGGACAGCCTAACACTTGAATCTTTTTCCGTGTTCTTCATTCATGTTTTTCCAAGTGTTTCTGCGACTCGTGTCGCATACCTGAATTCTTCTTTGCTTTGGTACAGGATGTTCGTCGCCAGTTGCCTCTGGTTTGCCCTCCATAATGGATTACACTCCTCGAAATGCGAGGCGATCGCTCCCCTACGCTAAAATCGATAAAGCTTCTCCAATCATATGCGAAGCGAAGGTGGAAGGCTTCAAAGATCCAAACGAAAATTAACGACAGCTATTAAAAATGATCTAGGTCTCGAAAAAAGAAGTAGAAAAAGGACGTTTAAACGAAAGGAAAATTACGAAAGCTAGCGTGCGCCTCGAAAATTACTTTCAGGAAATCTATCAACCAAAAAAAAGGAAATATTTCGCCCTGTGATGTATATAGGAGAGTGATAAGAATGCCTGTGGGATAAGCAACTGGAGACGCCAAACAAACAAACAAAGCAAACTCATCAACAATTGGTTACCGCTGATCACACAAATGTACAATGAACTTCAAAAAAAATACAGAGTATAAGAAAATGGCTTTGCGAAGTGTTACTTGACAGAGTCATTGAAAATCACTTACAAGGGAAGGTCATCAAATCGTTAGAAGTTCGGAAGTAGTTTTTTGGACTCTGCTGACTCTCTAGATTTATAAAAAAAAATCAGACTACTTATAGAAGTAGAGTTAGATTAGTGCAAACTTCAGCTAAAAGAGCATATAGGATTGGCGCGACTATCGACGCATTGGTGTAAAGTTGCTACAAGAACAGATGTCGTCAAGCTGAGCGTCTCTTGCTGAGAATTTCGTTCGAATTTCTAAAGAAAGTAAAGCTTAGACAATGCAGGATAAGTGCTTACAAGCGGAAAGTTATTTGTTGCAACAGGCACATAAATCAGTATAATGGCTCAAAAGTTCTGCAGTCATATAGATATATAACGAAAAGGGATTCTTCAATATTAACGAAACAAAGGTACAATTATTGATTTATCAGTCGAAAAGAGTAAATAAAGTAACTTACTAGCTGTATTGCATTCAGCGTTATCAATAAATAGTAAATTACAATCAATCAAATAAATCTGCAGCCTGAATTTCTTGAATGCGTCTAAGATGATATTCGCTTAAAGGCAGCGTCGGCCCAAAAATTTCATCTTCCATGTATTGTTATCGGGCCTTTCCAGGCGCTGATTTTGTAAATGACTTCAAATTACCAGAAAACCCCAAAATTGCTCCTTTGTGAAGCCCTATTTTGGCAGACGTGGACGAGTACCTCGGTGCCAGGGCTCGGCACAGGTGGCCTTGCAGCAAGCTGGATATCGTTTTCGGGACAAAAAGCAAGGAGATTATCGTTTTTGAGGCTAAAAAGGCCCAAAAATAGCGAAGTTTTTTCCACGTTTCGTTTTTTGAGGGTTTTTTACGTTCAAGGTTGAGGGTCAAAGGGGACCTCGCAAAAAAAAATTGCGAAAGCCAAGGACGCTTCGTTTTTTGCATTTCCAAAAGCCAGCTCGTGCCAAGCCCTGCCCGGCGCTAGTCACCTCGTAAGTAACGGGAAACCTCATGGTGTGCAACACTGCAACATCAAACTATGCGTCTTGATGCTGCTTGTCATGTTAGAACACGTTGAGAGTCAATCCGTGGAGTGCAAAAAAGGGACGGAGCGCAAAGAGAATCCAGGTCTGTTATCTCCTTTTGTAGCAACAATGGGGAACCGGACCAATGCGATTTGTCTACTTTTAGAGCCTGCTAGTAGGATAAGCAGTAATCCGGAGCGAATAAATTCTGGGTGGACATTGCCTTCAAGCTATTATAGCTAATGATTTTCTCTTTATATTCATCGAATCATGCATTACAGTGCACAAATGATGATACTGCGAATTACGAAACGGTGTAAGGCATTTGAAATTAAAGAAATCTTAATTTTTGTCTTTGTCAACCAAGCGCTATCAAATTTCATTAGTCATTAATCTTCATACAAAAGAATGACAACAAGCATCCAGCGATATATTTGAGCTGAAACGTATCATCTTTTACAAACGCTCGCTAATGGCTAAATAGATCTTCATGTTTCAAATCTCGCTGAAAAATCACTTATGAGCCCAATATATTCAGAAGTGCATGCCATAAGAAAGAAGAGATTTGTTGCTTACGATGGGGAAAATGGGATCGGAAAGATATAGAGCTCCTAAATGAAAGCGATTAACATGTTCTCAATGGTACACATTCGACCAAACAACCTTTGAAACATTAGTTCAAGTTCAGGCGGAAGAAGGGGTATTCCGTAGTGGCATAGAGGCAATTTGAGAGCTACAAAGTAAATACCTACTGTAGGTTTGATATCAAGCGTAGCAGAATACTTCAAACTTAACACTTGCATTCAACTTTATTTTCCTTTTCTGCTTGCAAAAATGCAAGTTCGTACCGGACGCTAGATCATGAGAGTAAAGCTAGATCATCTTCATGCACGAGTCTCGAAATGCTTAAATCTCCAGGTTCATGCACTCATAGTAACCAAATCAAGAAAATATTGCCCCATCTTGCCTCTGATTACGGCTTTAGCCAGTGCGTGAATTCTTTCAAAACTTAATCCTGCTTTTGTGTTGACATTTATGTTTCTACAATTTTAGCAATTGAATGACGTCAGCATAGAAAGGTTTGCTGTTTTTCTACATAGTCTTCGCAATCGCTATTCTGCTAATCCCTTAGCCTATTTTATCCGCTATAAAGCGACATCAAAAAGCATCAGACTGAAGAAGTTTGCTGTCAAGCATATAGTGCAGCGAAGGCGGATGCTTGGTTAGAGAAATAGAAACAGCGGGCCTATGCGGTGTTTGTGTAAAATGCATCCTCAAGCTTCAAATTTTTGTGCTAACTCTCCCTCTCAGTTCAGCACGGGCGGGTGTGACTGTGCGATGTGAAGAATGAAATAGAGAGCTGAAGCAATGTGCTGGAGAAGAGGGCACATATGCTCCATCAAAAAATGTTCGAGCACGGGGGAGAGATCTGCAGCAGCAACTGCTTCGAAAGTTCGAAACACAGCATAACGACAAATGTGCTCGGACTGCAAAACATTCATATAGTTGAGAGCTTTTGTGCAGAAAAATGGCATTCTTTACAACAATAACACTAAAATGACAAATTTACGGGGAGATAACAAATAGAAGTAATTACAACTGAAAACATTGATTTAAAGCCCTTAACAAAATGAAACGAAAGCTACAAATCGAGGGGAGAGCGCGTTTCTTAGCCACCTGCAGCTGGCTGTCTTCACGCCTGTTGTAATGTTATATCTGTGGTCAGACTCTTCGCAAGAGGTCAGGGGCGGGAGGGGGTGGCAGATTATTAGCAAACGCTGTTCCATATGAAGATCTGCAAACACAAGTTCACCATTTAAAACCATGTCTCAAATCATTTGGTTGAAGCAAGCACACTTGCAAGGAAATCAATCTTTGGAACACGAAGGGCATTTAAATGTAAAGGCTAATGCATGACGAAGGCGCAGAAGCGGCATTAGTTGAGCGGTCGCGATCGCGGCGCGCGCGTATGTTTACCGTTGTAGATGCTGCGCCTCACGCACTCCGCGGCCAATAAAGCCGCGTTGCGTCCAAAGATATTGCGCCTTCGTCATGCGTCAGCCTATACTTTCGATTCTTTTTGTTAGTGCTAGTCGATTCTAAGACAATTTTCAATGAATATATCAAAAGTTACTCTCAACAAACTTCCAACACTTTTCACTCATTTCCATGAGGTTTTTCATTACTTTTTTATGCCGTTTTTGTAGCTATCTAGCAAGGGCGGTCCCAGAAATATTACAAAAGTGAACCAATTTTTTCAAAATCAACAGATGTTGTGGACGACCACAAGAGCATCTATTTTCGCTACAAATTTTTCAAACGGTTGTTAGCCAGAATTTTGAAGGGATGACGCCAGGTGGTGCCTAGAAGTTTCTTATAACTCATATAAATCATCTTCTTGTGCACTGCTATCATGCACATGTTCTTGAAAATCTCAGACAATTCATTGTGGAGCGATATTTGAAGGTTTGCGGGATTGAAATGAGTCTCAAAGTAAAATTTGTGATAAGTATATATGTGATGCTCGAGCGCCATAGAAATGATATCAGCAAGCCCCGGCTACCTTATTGAAATCACTGTCTGCAGAAAACGAAAGTAAAAACAGGATGTCACAATTCAGAAAAAGCATCATCAGAGGAAAGGACCCTAAGTTCAACTGTTGTTTTCTCAGTGGGAACCGATATGAGGATACTTTATATGTGCATCAAAATCAGGATTGTTAGTTTATAGTATTTTGGAAGGAAGCACGGAAGAAACAGATTGTTTTTGCATGATGGACACAAAATTTTGACAGCAGAGCGAAGAAATAAAGTTGCTTAAAATGGCATACAGGCTAATTTCAAAACATAGTAAACGCTACAGATCAAAGTACAATTAAATTCTTGGCTGTATGAAGGAAGACTTTGGGGGACGACGAAAGCAAAAGAGAAGTGCTTCAACGAATTGTTTGCTGAAGTGTAATAATATGTAAGCAAATACTAAAAAAACGATTATCACGAGAAATAAAGTTTTGGTGAATCATATGCTACGAAAACGTCCTGCTTTCGTGCATTTTGCACGGAGTGTTAGGCTCTTGTTTGGGCCGGAACATGCTGAAATTATCCCATCAGTGCGGGCTGGACCATAACTGCTTTTGCCGCTTTCGGGTTGGGAGGCCTAAATCAAGCTCCATGCAATATAAAGCTATACATATAGCCCTTAGCTTTAGGCTCACCCAGTAGAATCTGCGTTTCATATTGAGCTCAAATTATACGGAGTGCTTTGAAAGTCCGGGAGGCTAACTTCGAAGTCAATTCTGTCCACGGTATGTCTCGAATCCATACTACAAATTGCAACAATCATCCTCTTCAAGTAGCAGCAAAGCTGAGATTGTTGGACTGTGGTACAGAGCTCGAAAATCCAACACCTCGGTGTTTACGATTCACTCCATGTGGGAAAAAGTTGGATGCATTCCGTAACACTTTCATATTAACAAGTTAGAGGAGGCTCGTACAAGTAATAATGATAGTTGCATTTACCATCTACTCCTCAGAGAATGGCAAGAAAATTGCGGCTGTTTACCGGCCATTGATAGCTTTATTTTCTGATAAATGATAGAT